TGGAGACGAATGAGGTGATAGTGGAAAACTCTGAAAGAAAGAATGTAAGTTCAGTGAAGATAGCAGTTTTTATTGTAGATAGGAGGAGAGTTATTTGACTAGAGGACATTGTGAGGTCTAAAACTTGGAGATTTGGAACAGTCACTGAGAGAAACCACCCAGGGATATGTAAAGTTTTACCAGGCAGTATTGGCAGTTAATTTATAATCAGTTATAATAAGTTTGTATTGAGACCGATGGACACGATTAAATGACTTTCAGTAGCAACGCTCAGGTCATCAGGAATGGAAACAAATATAAACAGATTTGGTTCCATCTGGGCCCTGGTAAACAAAGGCAGTCAGCTCTGGGCCAGGGGCACTGGGGGAGGATTTTTTTGGTGTAGATATAAATACAAATGAAATGACAAACCTCGAAGTATAGAGCAGCTAGGGGAACAAATATTGCTAAAGAAAGTTGATAGACCAGGAAAACATGGAGTTACTAAGTAACCAGTGGACACAGAAGAAGAAATTCTAGGTTGAGGGAGCAAGAGGGATAACTGAAAAAGGTCAGACAAGAGAACGTAAGAGGTGAGAACTCTGGAGACAAAGCAAACATACTCTGGGTGCAGATCAGGACCTAGCTGTTACCCTGCCGCTGAGAAGCAAAGGCCTCAGGAGCTGAGGTCGGTGTGAAGCTGAAGAGAAGGCCTGCAAGCAGATACAGGCCAGAACGGTCGGTCATTCACAAGGATGCTGAAGCTGCTGAGGAGACGCAGATCACCTAATGTAGGTAGCAAAGCCATTGATCAAAAGATGAATGCCTGGGGAGTGGGAACTGCCTTGCTTCTGGGTGTTTGGGAGACTGTGCTGTAACTGAACAGTGCTGCCGTGGGATACGTGTGGACGGCTGATGGGAACAGACAGTGGTTTGCAGGCAGGCCTGGGGTGGCAGATGGTTATTCCATAAGTTGGGTTGGTGGGGTCAGAGTGTTCTTTATCTGAGAGACTGGGGAGAGGGAAATATACCATATCAGATACAACTGCTGTGCGTGTTGGAAGGCGAAGCATTGAGATTGCAAGATAGCTAATGCCTGTTCAGTTATGCACTTTAGAGAACTGATTCCTAATAGTGGCCACAGATATCACTGGGTTTTAAGATGCAGAAACTGAGCTGGGTTGGCTTAAATTTGTTGAAGACTGCCTCATCTCCCCCGCCCCCAACAACCATCAGCATTAAAATTCTATATTCTAAACCAGGCAGTGGTGGTGCATGCCTTTAACCCCAGCACTTGGGAGGCAGAGGCAGGCAGATCTCAGTGAGTTTCAAGGCTTGCCTGGTGTACAAAGCGACTTCCAGGACAGCCAGGACTGACTGTTACACAGAGAAACCCTGTCTTGAAAAGCAAAACAAACAAACAAACAAAAAGCAACAAAATTCCATTTGTTTTTTTGGTCTTTTTTATTAGTCTATATTAATTGTATATAATGAGTCTCATGGTATCTTCACTCATGTATATAACGTAATTTGATCATATCCCCCCATTACCCTCTCTAGTCCCACTTCTGATCCCTTTCTTATCAACTTGTGCTTTCATGTCTGTTTTTATGATCAAGTTTTTCAAAAACTTTTCATACAAGTATATACTGTAGTCCTGCGAATCTCCCCATACCCTTCCTATTGCTGCAGCGTCTGTAATTCCCCCTTTCCTCCGCACCATTTCAGTTGTCTGTCACATCATGTACACATACAACATATGTAGCTATGTAAAATCTAGGTCTCAAACTGGGAGAAAAATGTTTATTTCTGTGACTGACCTAATTGTTTAATATGGTTATTTCTACTTCTTACAAGTGACATAACTTAGTTCTTTATGACTGAAAAAATTGCCATTTTGTATACATACAGATTTTCTTTATACATATCAGTCAGTGGACACCCATGTTGGTTCTATGACGTACCTGCTGTGAACATTGCTGCCGTGAAAACAGATGTGCAAGAATCTCCAGTGTGTTAACTTGAAGGTTGGCTTTTTTGGGTTCATGTGCTAGAACAGTAATTGGTCACAACACGGATATGGCAGGAATATCACCGAAAGGCTTGAGAGAGGCGTAAGCACTAGGGATTATCAGCGAACTGTAATCAATTAAACAGCCTCAGCGTTCATATTAACACTTGAGCATGTCCAACCGGAATGTCCACTTGGAATGTTAGCATGACCAATTCAAACAGCAGCGTGACTAATTAGGGTGGCTATTGGAACTAATTACAGCACTGTCCTCATCAGCTGCAACACTGCTGTGACTGATTACAACCTGGGAGTTTAAATGACGAGGGGACTTTGACAGTGGCGAGAGCAGAGAAGACTCAGATACAGTGTAAGGCTTTAAAAGCTTCCCCAGAGCAATGTCTGGAATGCTGATCCCTGCCCAGAAGTGCGTGGTTATCATCTAAGATCATGCGGCAGCCCACAGGGGTTGTGTTGCAATTGTCTTGATTCTAAGTCTTGGCCTCTGGTAGGTGTTTAGAAACAGATAATGTCTACAGAAGATTCTCTTTTGTTAGATCTCAGCACTCCAGAATAATTGTCCTTATGGATTTACCTTGTGGAATTGTCCTTTTGTCCATTTGCATAGGCATCTTGAAAGCTTATATATCTTTATGTTGGGATTCACCCCCAGTTGTCTGCAGTAATATCAATTTTGTGCTAACTATAAATGTGCCTTAATATCTCTTCCTACTTTTAACTTTTATTTTTTTGTGTGTGTGTACAGTGGGTGTGTGTGCATGTGTGGGTATGAGTACGTGTGTATGTATGAGTGTGTGTGTGTGTGCGTGCACCATAACATATATGTGGAGGTCATAGAAAACCTCATGTTATTTCTTGTCTTCCATCTTCTCTGACATAGGTATCGTGTCTTGTGTTGTATGAAAGCACTTGTGGACCCTTCTTTGTCTGCATTCCATTTTGTCATAGTAGCATTGGGATTGTAGTCATTTGCTACCATGTCCAGCTACCTACTACATAGGTTCTAGGGATATGAACTCAGGTCTCCACACTTGAGTGGCAAGTTCTTTATCCACTGAGCCATTTCTCTAGCCTTCATATAATTTTAGCTGGAAATATGTATTTTGCAGACTGTCTAAAATTGGTTTTAGAACAAGGCACGTAGATGCAAGGATGGAGAAATTAAGAGAATGAGGTGTAGTAAAAGACAGAGATGATGAGAGGGAAGAGGGTACAGGAGAGAATAAGTGATAAGCAGGGAGCATTGTGAACATCTTACAAATGTCACATATTCAAGACCAGGAGAAGTCATCATCTTGTTATGGCCTCTCACCCAGGAAAGAACTGCTTTAGATGATCTACAGCCTGCTTGACCTCAGCAACAGAGTTCTGTGTTGTATGTGTTCAGTGAAACCCTGCCAGTCTAAGTGGGCTCAGCGAATGTTTGTTAACTGCCTTTTCAACATTTTGTTATTTCTCTCTAAATTCTTTACTTCACCGCACACACCTCCCGCCCTAGCTTGGAAAACAGGATGATACCTCCAACAGGAACGAATTCTGAAGTCAAATAGGTCATAGCTTACAAACTAACTCTGCTTGTGTTTAGCTTTATGTCCTTGGTAGATTTGCTTTCCTTCCCTGGGCCTGTTTTCTCATCTGTAGAATTCAGATACCAGTATTTACTGGCACATCCCTGAGAAGGGGTGTTAAGAGGATGTGTATAAAAACAGCCGGCGATCTTTGCTGTAAAGCAGGCACTCAACAGATCTGAGTCTGTCACTACCTTGGACATCTCATCTGACCGAATATCCCATGGTTCTAATCCTCTAGTGCTCCTGCTTTTACCCTGCCATCCAGCCTCAAGCCAGGCTGACCAGGAGGAGCCTATTGCCTGGGCTCAGAGGGCTTCTAGATATCAGGTCGAGTTAGTCTGTAGCCCACATTTATCAGGGACTGGTGCCTTTTGGGTGGGGTTAGGGAAGTATCTGTTCCTAGTCAAACTCCTCTGTGATTCATGATGGTAGGACAGTTTGAGATCTATGAAATCAGAGACCACCATTCTGTGGTCTGAAATGATGCAGTGTTCAGATCAGGAGGTTGTTTCTTTTCCAGAGGCTCTTCTGATTTTTTTTTTTGTGTGTGTGTATCTTCAGTGCTAGGACTTGTGTAGACAAAGGTTTTGACCATCTGCATATCACCATTTGCTGATGTAAAAATATTACTTTATACTACCGGAAGTATTTCTGGTCCTTAATAATGCTTCAGCAACTGTCCTGCCTACATCCTCTGCTGTTTCCTCTTGTTTGTGTTTAATAACTGTGTGTGTTTATGGAAGGCTTGGTGTCCAGGAGCTGGGGTATTTGGTTGTCAGCCGCTGTTCTAGTGACAGCAGGAATAGAAATAACCAGTAGAGAATACATCTATCTACATGCCACAGTCGTCAGCTGTAATTTTCCTTTAGTTGAGGAAAACCTTCTGTGAGAGGTTCTCACAGAACCGCTCACCAGGAATCCACTTTTTACTCTGACATCTCTGGATTTATTGTAATGATGTCTTGTGTTGAGATTTGTAGAAGACTAGACTGATGTTTGATTGTACTCTGGAGCTGGTCTAGAAATTTCTATTTTCAAAAACTGTATTGTCAACATGAGTTCATATTCCTTTGTTCTGATTGAGAGGGCTTGCTGCTTCGCCTTGAAAACAGAGATGGGAAATGCCCATCTTTTGAAAGTGCCCATTCATAATCTCTGAAAATGATTAATAATGGTTACTATGGAGAAATATGTTTTTTGAGAAATGTCTTTCAAAGCTGGGTGATGTCAGGGGTTGTGCGGTCCCCATGTGACCTGGAGTCAGCCAAACCTCTCCTAACAGACCATGGCTGCTCTACAGCAGTCCCCGAGGCAGTACAAGACACAGCGCAGATGTTGCCTTATGTGCTATGGATGGAACTGCAGCAGGCCTTGTAGCCATGGTGGCTTATGATGCTGAGATCCATTTTTGCTTACAGGAACTGCTAAGTCGCACATCCCTGGAGACCCAGAAATTGGATCTAATGACTGAGGTGTCTGAACTGAAGCTCAAGCTGGTCGGTATGGAGAAAGAGCAAAGAGAACAAGAGGAGAAACAGAGAAAAGCAGAGGTGAGTGTAGTGCATCCTGTCAGGGTCGGGTGAGGGTGGGGCCTGTGTTGTACTAGACTACTAGGCTGTTGGGCCAGCTGCCGTCCCAGCAGGCGCTGGGTACCGGGAATATTCATGCTCTAGAGGCACAATGATCTGTTTAATACCAAGTTATCAGGTTTTGCTGTCGCTGCACATTTCAGCAATGCCCAAACCACTCAGTTTTGGCTTTAGGGCTCTATCCTCAAACTGCTGACAGGGGTGGAAAGGGAAGAAGGATCAGACACACGAGGAGGGACACAAGACGTCTTTTGTGAAAGTTAAGGTAAGGACAGCAGCAGGAAGGAAGTCAGTCTCCCAGCAGGCCTGAGACTGTTTCAGACACACATTTCATTGTCCACACCGCCACGTTTGTGTGCTTTGCTTTGCTTTCCTCTTGATGGGTCGTGTGAGGGAGCCCACATGCAGGCCATCTCTGAAAGAATGTTTGCTTGTTTTGTTTTGTTTTTTAGGCTCCATATATGACTGGTTAGAATGTGCCAGAGCCAACTTTAGATAAGAGTTTGGAGGATTTCAGGCCCAGAACACCTGCTTTACAAGGAGCAGCATGTTTTAACTTGAGACAATCACCTTCGTGTTCTGTGTTCACACCAGGCATTATGACACATGGAAGAGGATAGTTTGAAGTTTAGGGAAACCTTGGCTTGTTTACTGACTGATCTATTCAGTAACTCTTTGAACTTCAACAAATTAGTTATATATTTTGTATGAACTTCAATTTCTTTATCTATAAAATATAATTAATGTGTTATAGACTAAATAAATAAATCACAGATGTTGAATGCCTATCAATAATGAATGTGCTAAAGACCAATTAAATCACAGATGTTGAGTGCTCTCATGGTGTTTGGCGTTTTGTAAACTCTTGGTTTATATTCAGTTTCTGCTGTTTAGCTCTTTCAAGAGTCAAAAGATGGAAATTGGTCTTTTCTGATAAGTGCTAACATTGTTTGCACTGACGTCTGCCGTTTTTTTTGGGGGGGGGGTGTTGATAACAGAGCTTGGGGCACTTCTAATATGCAAGAGGATGTTCCTTGAATTGCTTCCCCCTCTGCCTTGGTTTTTCCAAGACAGGGTTTCTCTGTAGCTTTGGAGCCTGTTACAGAACTCACTTGGTAGACCAGGCTGGCCTCAAACTCATGGAGATCTACCTGTCTCTACCTCCTGATTGCTGGGATTAAGGGTGTGCACCACCACTGCCCAGCCCTGAATTGCTTTTGAGAACATGTTTCTCAGTAAGGTGTGTAATGGTCACAGGAAGAGATCTGTAGTGAGCTCTGGACAGGAGCTCCTATTAAGAGTGCCAATTGTTGGATACCATCTCTAACTTTGAATAATGCTTGGATATTCCCTAGCTTTGAGCTCCTGCCTGTTAATTTAGTTCCCAAATCTCTAGTTATTCTTTTTTGCTTATTTATTTTTATAAGATGGCAGTAATCCTTGCTATTTCCTTAGTCATTCTTAGGACTGAAGGAGCACTTGTGTATATCGCCTGTAACCCCTAACGTAGTGTGGCCATGCAGTCATAGCTAGCTTTTATGATTCCTTACGGACAGATGGACGCAAGCTGATCTCTGTGGCCTGTTTCTTCATTGTTGAAGGAAAACAGTCAAGTTTCCTGTTATCAGTGCCCCCAGGGTGTGTGATGTATGAGCATACATTAGGGGCTTAGAGGCAGACGTCAGTGAGCTCTGTGAAAAGTATAAAATGGTCAGTTTAAAACCATCAGCGGGAAAGAGAGGGGGTTGTGGGAAGAGAAAATGGAGTTGTTAGAAGACATAGCATGAGAAGTTTAGGGTTAGAGCACAGCGTGATTAAAGCCAGACAATCTCACTGTGCCTCCATAAGCCCATTTTAGGGCAGTCCTGTTTGCCACTTCATGGCAAAGATGGCCATCCGTAGTGCTAGACTGACATCTGCATATATTCTTTCTTAATGGTTCCAGCAAAAGTTGTAGGGTCGTTGTGAGTCTCATATGCCTGACTGGGCCTGGCACTCAGGGGTGGACCCCGCATGGTGGGTGTGAGTGTGAGAGTCAGTTCATCTGTGAAGAAAATGCAGAATTAATGTAGAGTCAGGTAACTCAGCTCCTTCTTGGGGATTCGGGAAGGAGGCGAACGCCCCTTCTGTGATCTGTACACTAAAGCCGTCACTTCCCTGCTTGCTTGCTTCTCTGTGGGATTGTTTTTAAATCCAAGTTTGAGGTTGTTTTCAAGCAGGCTGTTCATACATGAGGCAACAAAGCTCTCAAGCTCCTGGCCTCCATCCTGCCAGATCACTGCCCTTCCTAGTTGCCAGAACAAATATTAGGTTTCCATGTGGAGGAATTTTGTAGGCTGTTCAAACCTGTGAGAGGCAGTGAGCAGCCACATGACCTGAAATGCATTCCTCCTTATTGTAATTGAGCTTACTCTGCTGGTCTGCCCAGGACCTCAGCCTCTGCTGGACGCTGTGTGGAGCACCAGTGGCTGAATACCATGAGTGCCGCTGGAGTCTTACTGCTGTCATGTGATGGAAATGAGTGAGATATTTTGCTAGCTCAGGTCACTCGTGGTTGGAACCGCACAAAAAAGGGAATGCCTCTTCCATTCCTATCCTGCACAGTTTTTACCAGTGAATGCTTGTGCCCAAGGCTGAGTGTGGTTTAGAAAAGGTCAGATTTTGTTTTCCTTTCTGAGATAGCCAGAAGGGAAGTTCATTTCTGACGACTTTGTTACTGTGTAGACACTTCTCTTGTTGCTGTGATAGAATCCCTGACGGAAGCAAGAAGGAAGGAAAAATTGTTTATCACCATCATCATTATTATTTTATTATTTGGTTTTTTTAGTCAGTGTTTCTCTGTGTTGCCCTGACTGTCCTAGAACTCACTGTGGACCAGACTAGTCTGGAACTCAGAAGTGGGCCTGCTTCTGTCACTCGTTTGCTGGGATTAAAGGTATGGACCACTGTAAAACAGCTTATTATTTATCTTTGAACTCACAGTTTATGCAATACAGTCTGTCATTGTAGGGAAAGCATAGTAAATGGGACTCATCCATGGTAGAAGGACTTTGAGGCCTGGCTTGTGATATATCATTAGATCAGGAAACAGAGAGAGCTCTGATTAGAACCAGGGTCCTAAGTACTTTTTCCATGTAGACTTCACCTCCTAAATATTCCAAAGCTCCTAAGATGGTGCCACCACATAGACATGAAATATGTAACTACATGAGTCTGTGAGGGAGGGTGGTCTTTCACACGTAAGATCTAGTAATATGCTGTGCAAAATAAAAATGAAAATAAATTTGAAGGAGACAGATTTATTGACTCAGGGTTTCAGGAGTTCCAGGCTGGCTTCACTGCAGTGAGGCAGAAGACCACAGCAATAGGGACATGTGGCAGAGAAGGTTGTTCAGGCCAGGCCAGCTAAGAAGCAGAGAGAAACAGGAAGGGGCTGGGGCAAGATACATGCCTCCATTGATAGACTTTCTCCAACCTGGCCCCACTTCTATGACTTCCCAGTCTTACCATGAAATTATGAACTCATCAAGGGTTAATTTATTGATGAAGTCACAGCTCTCATGAGCAAGTCACTTCCCCTCAAATCACATCAACAAAACCTTTAACATATGAGCCTTCCTCAGGCATTTCAAATTCAAGCCACAACACTTCCTTCATACGATTAGGCCATTATCCTCGGATTCAGTGTTTCCATGAAAATAGGGTTAGTTCTTTAGAACAGAACACACATGGTTCTGATCCTAACCTAAGTCATGTGGCTTCAATCAGCACCCTACTGCTTGTCCTTGCATTTTACACATGGTTGCTGGTAGCCTGTCTGTGATACCTGAGGGATTAGAAGTACTGGTTTTCTGATGACCAACCTTTCCAAGGACTAGGTTGGCAGTGGCCCATGTGACATGTGGGTGAATACAAATGTTTGCTTTAGTCTTCCTCATTAGCCTTTTACTGTATTCCCAGGTCATTTCAAGCTACCCAAGACTGCATAGATTTACTTCTGAAATCAGGATCATAGTAGAGTGACTGACAAGAGAAGTAAATACCAGCATTGGGATGATGGAACACAAAGTTTCTGAGACAAAAGAAAACCTCTTTGTGGTACCCCAGAGCAAAGGCATTTTAAACGCACGTTGATCAGAAGGATCCTCTAGAAGGGAGTCTGAGTCCCTCGGCACTAGGGTCATAGGAGGGAGCGCTGGTGGGTTTGAGCAGTTGTCAGAGTCTGGTTAGAGGAGAGCAGAGGTCCAGGCAATGGATTCCAGGAAGTGAGGTTATCTCAACTGATTGAGAGCTAGGAATAATTTTCAGGATTTTCTTTCGGAACACACAGTGGCTTACAACATACCATTTTCTTCCTGTGCTCTGTACCTGAGAAGGGAGAAATTCTGACTTCTGAACTAGAGCAACCAGAATGATGGATTTGGACCACAGAACAAGTACAGGGAAGAATGTATCTGCTCAGAGCTGAACTGGCCTGCTGAGGAGAATTTTAATATTTTTGTTTTTGCTTTATTAATTTGTTTTCATGTATATGAAAGAAACTGCCAAAAAATCAAAAGTTCATAAGGATGTATAATACAAGCTCCCATAGCACCTGTCCTCAGCCAGCAGATGCGTTCTGTGCTATCAGTTTGTTTTGCATTCTTCCAAAGTTATTTTATGCAAGGACAAGTGACATGTGGACAGATGGACATACTAGATGCATGCACATACAGACAGACCACATGCACACAAACACACACATGCACACAAATACTCTGTTTTTTTTTTATTTTCATACATTTTAAAAAACGGAATGCTCGTACACTTCTTTCCATGGCAAGGATAGTAAACAACAAACCTTTCCTCACTTGTATTTATGTCTGCATAGTTTCTAACATCTGACTATGCCCTAATGCAGTTAACCAAGTCTTTTTGGTGGATGTTTAAATTGTTTCCAAGCTTTTGATGTTCTGTATAATGTTGTAGTCAGTAATCTTATACAAGTGTGGGGTGCTCACAATGGAACAGAGGAGGCAGGGCACCTATGCTTGAAATTCTGACCTCTTTCCAAATCTCCCTCCCCTTCTATAGAACATAGAGGTTGTACACACCTCGGCAGTGTATGCTAGGAGAGGGTCAGGCCACTGTTAAACTGAGCATGAAGGGAGAGAGGGAAAGAACTAAGGAGAATTGTGAGCAGGTTTTTCAGGTAAGAAGGGGGTAGGGTAGATGATTGTGGGAGTTGTTTGATAGCTTCAGAGAGCAAGAGCCCTGGAAAGGGGGTGGATATTTGGCAAGGCAGGCTGAATACAGAGTCAGCTGAGATTACAACACACAGTAGCACTTACAGCCTCATAAATGTCACCTGCACTTCGTGAATGATAGCCCAAGGATGCAACAGTGCTGCCAAAGGCTCTGCCCTATAGGAGAGAAAAAGACTGGGGACGAGAGGAGATGGCCAGCCCTGGAGTTAGAGTTCTAAGTTTCAGCGCCAGGTCCAAGGAGTGAGACACAAAAACAACAGCGGTGCGTGGTTAGGGAAGTGGGCCAGCAGACCTGGAGTAGAGCGCATGGTCCTGCTGAGGCAGTGGGAGGAAAACAGGTGTGGACCCAACCTCTGACCTACATCTGCATGCTGCCTGATACAGATAAGAACGGAAGTGGAAGGGAAGGGAGCAGACGCTGTCTGGATTTTGGATTTTTTTTTTTTTAAATTTTCGAGACAGGGTTTCTCTGTAGCTTTGAAGCCTGTCCCGGAACTAGTTCTTGTAGACCAGGCTGGCCTCACACTCACAGAGATCCGCCTGCCTTTGCCTTCCAAGTGCTGGGATTAAAGGTGTGCACCACCACCACCTGTCTTTCTGGACCTGTAAAGTCCACAGCCAAAGCTGATGTGCATCAAGTATGTTTAATGGTTTTTCTCACTTTTCTTACTCAGAGACCAGGGAACAAAACTGGGGAAACTGACTTGGCTTCGGTTTTGGAAACAGAGGGGAGTCTAATACTGTAAAATGGTAGGGGTATGAGAATACCGGTTAGCCAGAAATTCATGAACCTCAGAGTAGCTCTGAGTAGCTGGGTACTCTAGAGAGGAGACTTCTGAATCATCCTGAACTGCTGAGAAATAAGGTAGTTCTGACTGCGTGCAGTGTCAGTAAGAGGGAAGGGCTTAGTGTAGCTAGCCTTGAGGGAAACTGGGTTTCGTAGGGACCAGCACAAGAGATGGGAAGGGCATTTACTAAGGACAGAGTGCACCTGTGTGACCCATATGAGGAAGGGCAAACTCCAAACAATACTAAGAACAATGGCCTTTTAAAAGAAAGGTATCTTTTAATAAGAGGAATGAAAAAGAGCACTTGTTTCTCGCCCTGCCTATAATAGGTGCAAAGAACTGCAGTTCCACACTGCATGCTTCCAGTGAGGTTTTTGTTGTTTATTTCTTCTGCCTTTTTTCTTTGTAAATTCTGACCATCAAATTCAGGCTCTCCTGATGGAGCTATCTCCCCAACTCCAGATGAGGCTCGATATTTTTTTAATATTAGGAAAAATATTATTTTAAGTTACTGTGTGTGCTAGGGAGCAGAGCCTGGACCTTGCACATGCGCGTGCTAGGTGAGCGCTGCGTCACGGAGCTTTGAGTTCAGGAAATCTGGAAACAAAACATTCTTGTCTTAATTTTAAAACTGGGAGAAAAAGATTCGAGCCAAACCTCTGAGGGATGTGAGAACCTTGAAAATGAAGTAGGTAGGAAGTCACAGGCCAGTGAGATATCTCAGTGGGTGAGGCTGCCACGAGGTGGAAGGAGAGAACCAATTCCTCTGAGTTGTCTGCTGACTTTGATACATGCATCTTGGCCACAACACTTGCCTGCGCGCGCACACAGACACACACAGACACACACAGACACACACACCCATACTGATGTATGCATACCGATTAAGGTATAAGTTTCATCAGACTTAACTCATTGTTTGGCTCGAAATGTTCCGGTGCACTGATATAAAAAGACTGCTTGGGACACAGTTTGACAGGATGGAGGAATATAGGCTGGATGTCCAAAGAAGCCGATTAACACCTGGATGGGGGTAGAATTGGGGGTGCCTCATTACACACATGTGTGTGCTGTGGAGCTCACCTGTACGCAGGTGTCATGACTGGATGTGTGGGTGGGTGTTGGCAAGTGTAGCATGGCTGTAGGTGTGGAGGGAGTGTGCCTGGGCTCTGTGTCTGCCTTTGCTGCTGCTGCTGCTTGGATGAAGGGATCTGCCAAACTCCCTGTGCCTTGGTTGTTGACTTAGAAGAATGGCCATCCAGTATAGCAAAAAGTAGATGTCAAACTTCAAGACAGGTCCAAGGATGGAGCAGGACTCGGGGAAAAAATGACATGGTTTTTGTTTATCAGAGAGGGGCCTGGCCATGGACTGGGCCACCCTTTCCTCCCCCATCACGCTCACCCTCTGCAAACTTCCTTTCCTTCTCATCTGCTCCCCAGGGAGGTCTGGATCTGGAGGTGACTGACCTTGTGTGCTTTTCTCTCCTTTCTCTTCCTTCCCACAGTCAGTTCTGAATGTGATCAGTGAGCTGCAGGAGCAGATGTGTAGGCTACAGCTGGACATCCACAGGCAGATTCAAGAGCGTCTGTTACTCGCTAGGGACCACCCTGAGGAGGTGGTGGCCGATGACCATGAGGCCAAGCCCCAGCCCTGCAGCCAGGACTGTGCCCCCTGGGAGGGGTCACCTGTAGGAGCCATACTTAAGTATACCCGAGCATGTGTGTGTCTCTGATATCTCACTGGTGGAGGCTGCTGTTTCTCCTAATCAGAATGGTGTGCAGTGGCTTCGCATGAATCTGCTGTTACCTCAGGGCAGAATTTGGCCTTATACAAGCCTCTGTTGACATGAGGTGGGGACCCCGGGACCCTAATGAGGCAAAGTTTGAGCAGGTGAAAATAGCCCTCAGAAGGCCACATTTTCCCCCTTCAGGAATAGGATGGAGGTGCACCACAGGCTCTGGGTGGTGGGAGAGCCTCCTATCCCAGTGTGAGATCCAGACACTTATCCCTCCTCTAGGACTGGGTGTTTGAATGAAGCTTCATTGCGTGATTCTCTTTAATGGAAAAAAGTGACATCATGTCAAAAAATCATTTCAAATATTTGTTTAGAGAAGTTTAGCCCCACCCTCACCTCAGATAGAAAAATAATGCCCGCATAATAATCACAGTATAGCGAGTCCGTGACTTTTTGGGCCATATATCAAAGAACTCACAAGAACCCAGAAGACAGTAGCTTGTGTCCTCCTGATTCTGCCCCCTTTGGGCACGGTGCCCTCGCACAGCAGATTGAGCAGCTCCACTAAGACAAGAGCAAAACAGACAAGACTCTTCCTACCCTCTGTCCTGAGCTGGACACTGGGACAGCGCAGGAGGCTCAGCAACATTACTAGAAGATGAATCTCTGGCAAGCCCGAATAGACAGCCAAAGGTCTCAAAGCCACTGATGAAAATCAAGGGCATAGTCACCTTAGCTGTGGAGAATTTTTTTTTCTCAAGTGGTATCTAGAAATACTCACCCCAGCTATAAGTCATTCTTAATAAATCATCTTATAAGATTCAGGTGGAAGCAGTGTTACTTCATGGCTGATTATCTCCATACAAAGACACCTAAGCCAGTTAGATAAAGACTTGAGTATCGGATACTCATTTGTCAACAGCTGTGTGCCAGGACCTGCTGGGTAAGCAGCTAACAAAGACTCCCCAGCCTTCGCAGAAGAGAACAGAACTAGCTTTAGCAACCCTACAGATAAACCTTATCGGGGATCTGTGGGAAGCACCAGAGAATCCTGCAGAGGGGTCTGAGGCTATGTGGAGGTCTGGGTAGGAGTTTACACGGTGGACAGTTCGAAGTAGAATGCTGTGTATATAGAGGTGTAAGTTGGAAAGAGGAGTTGAAATTCTCCAGTGTGACATGTTAGAGCCTATCTGGGACAGGACAGGCTGGTCAGGATTAAAGTTTAGAAACTTTGAGAAGCAGGGGAGTGCCATGATCAGATTGGTGTGCCACTGCCGCTGTTCCTCTGGTGTTCAGCAGTATTTTCCACAGGGCCAAGGTCACAAAGCATAACCATTTGAAGAGACTCGGGCTTCCCACACTCACTGCTAGACCAGAGTCATTGTGGAATGTTGGGAGGGAAATGAGACGTAATATCCTGGATATGGTGACATGAATAAAGCTTGGACCCAAGTGGAGTTAATGATCTTTATGCCAGTTTGATGTGGGATTCCCCTTCGTATGCTGTGAATGCCATTGGTTAACAAAGAAACTACTTTTGGACCTGTAGCAAGGCAGAACTTAGCTAGATGGGGAAAACTAAACTGAATGCTGGAAGAAAGAAGGTGGAGTAAAGGAGAAGCCATGTAGTCCCACCAGAGACAGACACTAGTGATACACAGATTAATAGAAGTGGGTTAAATTAAGATGTAAGAGGTAGCCAATAAAAAACTAGAGCTAATAAGCCAAGCAGTGATTTAATGAATACAGTTCTGTGTGGTTGTTTCGGGGATGAGCAGCTGGGAACAAATGGTCTCCTACTACAAATAGGCGCTTTAGGCTATTGGCCAAACAATATTACAGATAATATGGTTTCTATGTGATTACTTAGGGTCTGAGCTGCCGGGCAGCTGGGAAACAAACAAGCGGCCTCCTATTACACCAGTTCTTCTGGGAGGAGATAGTTGTTATCTGAAATGATTGTCCATTAAGTAAATTTTGGTTCAAGACACTGACAGAGCACACTGGTAGTACATATTGTCGTCTTCAGCATGGAAGGTGAAAGTAGGAATGCAAGTTTGAGGCCAAGCTGTGCTACATGAGCTCTAGGCCAGCCTGGGCTGTGAGACCCTATCTCAAAAGAAGGAAACAAACCAGCAGATAACAGTGCTGAGTATTGCCCCCTTTACTGAGGAAATTTTAGCCAGGGGTCTAAATACAAGCATGAATTCCTGTTCTATTACTCTGTGTTTAGGTATCCCTTCCCATTCAGGAAGCTTCACTGACTTCCTGTCCATGCAATATCACTCCGAGAGCGCTGATTTGTAGAGCCCAATGCCGTTGTAGCTCCCCAGTCTCATCTCTAGTACATGCTGACATCTAATCTCTGCTGCACTACCAGGGCTATTTCAGGGACGCCTCCTGTCTTGGCTCCTCTCAGCATGCCTTCCCTGGTTCTTCCTGCTTAACCTACTCATCTGAACAGGACACTCACAGTGGTATCTGCATTTGGCACTTAGTGTTTGTTTCCCGAATCTTACTGGCTGTGATGCTTAGAGAGTTGCCGATTCCCTCCTCTGGGTTCCCCACTCACAGTCGGTGCAGAAAGATGCTCCTTGCGTCCTGCCCTTCCCTCTGTACTATCAGGGAAGCTGCCTCCATTCTGCATCTCCATTTCTCCCGCTGACAAGCTTGCCCTGCCAGCTTGTGACACACCTGTGCATGAGCTGGGCATGGGGGTTCAGGGGTCAGAGAAAGGAATGACAGAACATAAGAACAAGAGGGTCATTTTGAGTTTTGGGTGGGAAGGTAGCTCAGTTGATAAAGTGATGAGTGCGGGGATCTGAGTTTCATCCCCATAACCCATGCTTAAACAAACAAACAAGCATACATACGAATGTTTGCAGTCGTGGCACTGGAGGGTAGAGACAGGTGAATCCCTGGGGCTTACCAGTCAGCAAGGGACCCATTCTTAAAAAAAAGGCAATGGCTGAGGTATATACTCAAGGTTGTCCTTTAGCCTCCATATTTATGAACACACAAATGCACATGTGTATGTACACACACACACACACACATACACACACAGAGCAGCTGTTTCTCTCTTATGTCTGGAATTCCCTGGCCTTCATTTTTAAATGACCACATGGCCTTTTCTGGACCACAGACCATGTTTAAACCATGTCAAACCATGTTCAAAGCTGCAGTCATGGGCCTGCTGCAGTTGCTGCTGCCCTGACTCCCTCTGCATGAGATTTGTCGAGTTTGGAGACTTTATCTGTTATTCTCTTTGTGTCTCACAGCCCTGTCACCTTCCTTCTTCTCTCCAGGAGTTACTGCAAGAGCTCAAGCACCTCAAAATCAAAGTGGAAGAGCTGGAGAATGAAAGGAACCAGTATGAGTGGGAGCTGAAGGCCACTAAGGTAAAAGGCAGTGTGAGGTACCTGAGGAGGGGGTTCACTCTCAGGGCGGAAGTGCAAGCCAGCGCCCGCCACACAGTGGTGCCCAGACGGCAGCAGAGAGACACACGTGATGTAAGAAGTTCCCTCCAGAGAGCCTGTGCACTGAAGTGTGAGCTGCCGTGGAGCCCCAGCCATCACTTCTTCCACAGCAGTGTCCTGGGGTCCCTTGCTGACTTAGACAAGAAGGGTTCTAGGTGACTGAGTTAGTGGGCTGCCAGACCAGTGATGGCAGTACTGACAAGTCCTCAGCAGGGTGAGGGAGGGCGAGCCTCATCTTAAACTCAGCAGTCCTGATTATAGTCAGTTTCCTAAAAAAAGTTAGAAAACCATAATCATGCTTTAGCTTAAGAAAAGAGTGCATTGCTAAAATGATAAAGTTTTTGGTTTATTTTTTTCAGTCAAAGCCTTTTTACTGAATTGCGGAGTTTGCTGTGTAAGGGACGCCAAGAATAAATTCTTTAGTGAGACAGTTTTCCCCTTCCTTGTTTAGTTCTCCCTAGTCGAACTGCAGGGGTTAAAAGGAGTGGCTGAGCTGGGTGCAGTGAAGTACCCGTCATCCCAGCACTAGGGGAATGAGAAGGAGCCCTTGGAGTTTGACGCTATCTGGGACTACACAGTGGGTTCTAGGCCAGCATAGTCTACATAGCACGCTTCTGTCTCAGGAAAGAACAGCAACAACAAAAACAAACACACAAAACATGATTTAATTATTTTTTTGTCTGCATATTATATCTTTCAAATGTCAAATTAGTTGGCAAGTGAACAATAGAAGACATCATATTAAAACATAATTATGCTGTTTTTAGTGTGTGTGTGTGTGTGTGTGTGTGTGTGTAAGTGTGTAAGAGAGGGAGGACAGAAGAGACAGTGAGCATGCATGTGCTTAGGCAACCTGTGGAGGTCAGCATGACTTGGGAAGTGGGGCCGTCTTGGGTTATTAAGTTTGGACAGCAAGAGCATTTACCTGCTGAGCCAATTGTCAGCCTATGAATCTGTTGTTTGGAAAATATATAATACATTTCAAAATGAATAGACGAGCATAAAAACTCCCAACACTGTTGGCCGTTGGAGCAGACGGACGTTCGTATCCCCCTGATTTGCTCACTACACATTGTGTGCCTGTATCACACTATTGTACTGTGCCCCCTGGGAAGGGACAGAGAATACGATTCAATAAGAAAGGCTTCATTTGGGCCTTAGGAGGAGGAAGGAAACTCTTTAGCCACCTAGATAGGGTTTCTGCTAGAGGGAGCCTGGGCTGCTGCTCCTTCGGGAGAAAACACATCTGCTCTTCTCTGTATCCTGTAGAACCCTCCACAACTGACACTTGTGATGCGTGTGGCCATTTTAGTATTCAGTTTGTGTCTGAGTTTTAAAAACAATGCTTTTGAGGGCTGAGAAGGTGGTTCACTTTGGTCAATAAAAGACTTGTCAAGCAAGCCTGAGGACCCTAATTCAGTCTCCAGTATCATGTAAAAAGTCAGGTGTGGGGACTCTTATGATTGTGACTGCATCACTTGGGATGTGGAGGCAGGTAGATCCCAGGGGGTCACTGTCTAGCCAGCTTAGTCTAATTGGTGAACCCCAGATCCCAGTTTGATATTATATTTCAAAGAAAGTGAACATGTCCTGAGGAATAACTTAACCCCTCCTCTAGTTTACACACAAACACGTGCACATGTGCTTTCTCTCTCTCTCTCTCTCTCTCTCTCTCTCTCTCTCTCTCTCACACACACACACACACACACACACACACACACACACACACACACAGACAGACAGACTTTTGATTAGAATTATTGTGAGTTTGTTTGGGTCTTTGTTTTTCCTAAAGTTAGTTGCTAATTATTAAAAATAATGCTCATTGTAAAAAATTTCGAACCATAAAAAAGAAATTAAATGAGGGCTGTGTGTAGTGATGCACACCTTTAATTGCAGCACTTAGCACTCAGAGGCAGACAGACAGATCTCTGTGAATTTGAGGCTAGTCTGGTCTACATAGTAAGATTCAGGCCAGCTAGAGGTACACAGTGAGACCCTGTCTCAAAAATAAAGAACTGGAGAGATAGCTCAACAGTTAAAGAGCACCAGCTGCTCTCCCACAATACACGGGTTCAATTCCCAGAACCCACATAGCAGCCCCTACCGTCTGTGACTTTAGTTCTGAGAGATACAGAACATCTTCAGGCTTCTGCTATCACTGCCTTCATGTGGTACAAAAATACACAATGCAGACATAACAGCAGTACACATAAAAAAAATATAAAAGTATTTTTAAAAGAAAGAAAATAAAAACTGCCCAGATCACCCAGCCACGACAGCCATTATTAGTATTTCCTTTCTCCCAGGTATTTTTCTCTATGGTTTGCCTTCCTCCTTTCCATCCTATCTCCTTTCTCTCCATTCCTTCCTCAGTTCCTGGTGCTGACAACTTAGAATGTATATTATGCTTTTTCTCATTTAAATATTTATTATTTCTTAAGATAATAAAAGAAAAATGCCCTTTTCTTTTATTTAGATTTATTTTATAAATAAATACTAAAATTTAGTTATTTGTTTATTTTAAATTTATTTAAAATTATTTATTTTATAAACACTAAATTTTGGTTAGTATTTGTATGACCATATTTTCATGTTTAAATATAAAAAACACACTTAACTGTTTCACAGATGATAAAATGGAGGCCTGAGAAATTGAATAACTCTTCCACACTCACTGCCAGTCAGGCCCAGCGACGGGCTAGTGTCTGCACACAGACAGCCTTGTGTGCCGGTCTTTGGTGTCACCAGTTCTAAGAGCCTTGTTTTTCAGGGAGCTCAGAACTTTCCACTGCAGTACTCACCCTTGCAAGTCCAGCCCTGGTGAAACCTTTGAAGTTGCACATGCCACCCTTTGTTATAAAACCGAGGAACTCTTTTCCTTTTAATTCACCCAAGCTCTCTCTGCCTTGGCACGTGGACCTGTGAGGTGCCAGCTGTGAGGAGTCTTTAATGAGTCCCAGGTGTGGAGCACCTCCTGCCAGAACCCACCCAGCCCTTTGCACACTTTCCTCTTTTAAGTCAGAAAATAACGCAGTGGTTGTGTTTGGTGCTGATTTTCTGGTAAAGACCATGAGATTTCAGCTGGCCAGGGTGAGGTTCAGGCCTGGGTCTCCCGTTTCTGTGCTTTCTCTCCCCTTCCTGCAGTGGCCGCTTCTCCACCTGAAATCCTCCCTGTGCTTGTAAGCTGTTGAGTTTTCTCTCTAAGCCTCCTCTGTCACTAAAGGTGGCTGTCTTCAGTTAAGCAGCAGGAGTTTGTCCTTTGGGTTTAATAAGACAGCCCTGTAGGGATGCAGGCTTCCTTTCCTGCCCCCAGGGAATCCAGAGCACCCATCTCTGCCTCACGGGCTGACTTCTGATGGTTTTGAATCTCTGGCAGCAGAGTGCTGGTTTTTATGGCTGTTTTAAAGGCTGAGATAGCTATTTCTTTCATGGTTCTGAATAGGGCTTCCCATCTACCTATGGGTCAGCTAACCTTCTAAGGATAGCAGAGAACCTGTAGTGGTCTCCTGTTCTATAACTGTTCCAGAGTAAAGGCTGAGTCAAGTTGCCTGGACTGTGGGGTTTGTGGCATAGGTTCATACTTTGAATACTTGTCCCCTAGTTGATGGTACTGTTGGGGAAGGTTTAGAAGGTATGGTCTTATTGGAAGAGATGTGTCATGGGAGTCAGGCTTTAAGGCTTTGAAAGTCCACATCATTCCTAGTTAGCTTCCTTTGTCTCATGGATACAATATAAACTCCCAACCACTGCTTCAGTGCCATGCTTGCCTGTCTTGTCTACTACCATGTTTCCTGCTGTCATGGTCATGAGTCAGCCTTTGAAACTGTATGCCCCAAGTAAATTTCCTTCTTTAAGTTGCCTTGATTATGGAACACATGAAATAGCAAAGAAACTAAGACAGAATCCATAATACATCAGTGACCTCATACGGAGGCCGGTCTCAGGAAGAGACTCCTGAGAGTCAGGTGCTGCACTCTGTCTCAGTAGGCCCACTTCACTGAAGTGTGTGAGACCAGCAGATAAGCATCAACATTGGATTCCTAACAGACCACCCTGTCCACAGTAAAGATCCCCAGGCAAGAAGCCATGCAAGAAAAGCTGAGAGGTTATCTCCAAACAATATCCTGAGCCTTCTGAAAATGCAGTGCATTTGGGTTGAGAATCCTACAGCTAGAATTGTCAGAAACCATTGGCACTGTTATCCATAGGTCCATGGACATGTGGGCCCCAGGTGATGTGTGGTCCATAGCCGCCCGTCTCAGTAAGCTGAATGGAATACCCAGATTGGTTCTCTTGATTCTGGACAGAGCCCAGAGTTGGGGGGATAGGACTTTATTGTGAGCTTTGCAGTAAGGAAATCTGATCTGTATCTCCTGTTTTTCCTTTACATCTCTGGGGCATTAGAGATTCTAAATTTGTTTGGCTCCAAAGGGTGTCTTGGAGTGAGACAGACAGAGCTCTGATTTTCTAATGAGCTGGAAAACATGGATAACCATATGAAGTGAATTGTAGCCTAGGCATAGTGGATATGTGGGAACTGCCCAGTGCCAATGCCAGTGTGTGCATATGTGAATTTGTGTGCAGTGTGCTTATGTGTTTTCCCGTCAAAAAAGTATACATTACTAAACACACTCTAAAGCTTGTATGTATTCACTTGGGTAAGCATTCAACTGTGCCTGGAGGTTGGGCAAAGCATTAACTGCACAAATGGAGAGTATCTAAGGCGGGAACTCTTGGCTCTCCTCAAAATCAGCGGTAGAGATTTGATCTCCATGATTTTCAAGTGTGGGGGAAGACAGAGTTATATATAATTGTTACAATGGCATATCTAAAGGAGTATGTGTATCTTGGGAGAGGAAAGACCACATGCAAAATCAATGGTCCAACAGAGACAGCCTTCCCACTGTGTGTAACCCCAGCTCCCCTGGTCTCAATTTTCCCAGGGTTTTACAGAGCAGGGAAGGCAAAGAGCTTGGTCAGATGAGGAAGTGAGGAGATAGAACAAGGTGATGCTAGGTAGGTGAGTGAGATTGTTCTTCAGGGTTCCACCTGGTGGGGAGAGCCGGTATACTGTCACTCCTGCCCTATGCCCTTCACTCCTCCTGCCTCTTGGGGCCCAGTGGGCTCTGTGCTGTGACATGAGGCGCTTTGTTGTGAGCTAAAAGTCTCTCTGACCTGGAAGGAATTCTCTCTTGCTCCCTCAGGCTGAGGTAGCCCAGCTGCAAGAACAGGTGGCCCTAAAAGATGCAGAAATTGAGCGTCTTCACAGCCAACTCTCCCGAAGTGCGGCTCTCCACAGTGACCATGCAGAACGAGGTAACTAAATTGACTGTGACAGAACACATTATCTTAGGCCCACTCTTAGAAGTGGACATGTATCTGCGGATAACTGTATGTGTATTTGCATATGTGGGTATGCTAATGTGCTTATGTGTACGTGGGTGCTTGCCTGTGAACCTGAGCTCTGGTGTGGTATCCTTCTCATACCCCTCACCCCCTTATCTAGAACACGGTATCCTTCTCATACCCCTCCCCCCCTTATCTAGAACACTCATCTTTGAAGGCTTTTCTTACAATGCTAACTGAAGCTCTGTGCAGCCCACGCAGCCCCCTCTGGAGCTTTTTTCCCCTAAAACCACCTGATTTCATTGGATTGAAAGGCCTTGCTTCGATGTTACCACCAAAGAGGAGGCTTAGCAGTTCATCCTGCCTGACATTTGTACAAGGCCCCAAAGTTACAAAAGAAAGTGAATTCCTTGTCATCCTTAGAGCCCTACTTAAAATGTCATTTCCCAGGAAGCTCCGACTGGCCACCCAACCTCAAGTGGGTAACACTGCTCTTGTTATTCTTAAATTCAGCAGCCTCTTGTTCCTAACATAGCTCACACTATAAATTAGCAGTGCTACATTTTGGGAGGTCTCGGGAGAAGGATTTTTTTTTTTAATCTTTGTTTAAAATACTTCAGATTGTAGCACAATATTTGGTCCACTCTGAAACTGAGTCATTGAATGCGTGAAATGATACTAGATGTTTCCTGGGGAGTTCAAGTCTTGTTGAATAAAAACAGAAGAAACCCTCAAATATTATTTGTCACACCCACCTCGCCAGCAAGGAAGATGCAACACCGGACTCTTCTTACTGCGGTTTTATTCAGGACCCTTGAATAATCTTCTCACCCTAAGGGCAGACTTAGCCCACAGCTTAAATAACCTCTGGGTAGCCAACCTCAGCAAGCCACTTGGGAAATGCAGATAGGTTCAGAAACGCGGAAGCAAACCAGATCCGTTAGCCATATATGGAGTTGTTCACAGCTGAGAGCACTCACATCGGGAAGGTGAAAGGTGAAAACCAGCGCCACCTTTAAGGCGTGGCATCACGCAGCTCTCTACAATTATTTTTAACATACATAATATGTTTGTGGCAATTCTTCATGGATACAGAGAGAGCACATACACCCCAGCTTCTCTACTCCCCACCTGGGTGCTGAGCAGTGTCAGTCCTATGGGTTGCTGCTGCTGTCTAGTTTTCCTTGGCCTCACCATTGCCTGTCTTGGCTCTCCAGCTGGAGTGAGAACATTCTGTAGCCTTGTAATAGTAACTGAGCTTGAAAAAGGAATTGATGGCCACTAGCTTATCTCTTCCCGGCCTTTCACAAGAACCTTCCCAAGCTTTGACTGTCATTTATGCTGAGTCAAATTAGGTTCTAACCAGTGCATCCAGCTTTAACAGTCTTTATCTGAACTTATTCTCCCATCCTCATGGCCTCCCCTCCCCCCCAACTCTGCAAACTGAGTGACAGAACCGATGCTGGTACCAGAAGCCAATAGCTCTTCACACAAAGTCCACACATCTCCTGATGCTGCTCCTTAGTGACGGTCACAGAAGAAACAGGATATCTGTACTGGGATCCCTTGTCTCTTGTTCTGTTCCTGTACAACATCTCTTCCTGCTGCTTATCTCATTTTAGGGTTAAACAAAGTTTGTTGATTTGCTTTTATTAGAATATCCAGGTCCATGCCAATTCCAAAACCTCTAAGAATCTTGCAGATTGTCTCTTCCTCTTTCAGACATTGGTCACTCTTCACACCTATTTGGAAAAAGTCAGGCATGTCCCATTGAGTCTAAACTTGGAGAAAGCCTTTATCTTTCTACCATGGACCAACATAGAGCTCTTACCTATTTGTGACGAAGGGCATTGCTCTCCCTTAACCATAATATTTGGTTTTGTGTATTTATTAGTAAAGCTAAATATTTTTTTGTTTTGTTGTTTTTACTGTTATGTTTATTTATTTGTGTGTGTGTGTGTGTGTGCGTGCATGTGTGCACGCGCACTCACGCACACAGGTGCACACATGCCACATTATGTGTGTGGATATCAGATGATAACTTGTGAGAGTCAGTTCTCTCCACTATGTAGATCTTGAGGCTCAAACTCAAGGTATCAGGCACATTGGCAACTGCGTTTACTAATGGAGCCATCTTGCCCCTTAATATTTTTCATTTTTGTTTTGGACTGAGTCCAGGGCCTTGTGCAAAGAAGATACATTGCTCTGCTACTATACCCTATCTCTAGTTATTTTTCTGAGATGGGGTCTTCATAAATTTCTTAGACAGGGCTCAGTCCTTAGATCTTCTACCTCAGCCTTGAATAGCTATGATTATAGGCTTGTAACTTTTCTTTATAAACATTTCTTTAGTCAGATTTTACAATTTTAATTTTAACCAAGTTACCAAGCCTTTGTATAATGCCCAGTGTCATTTATCATCCATAAATTGTTTTGAGTTTTCTTTTATAAAATTTTCCTTTGCTTCTAGTTTGTCTGAGTCCATGGTCTTTCCCTCAAACTAGTCAGGAGTCTTGGCATATGCCTACATAGAATATGAGTATTTATGTTCTTAGGAGATGCTGTTTATGTTTGTTCCTGTCATTTTTGAGTAAATGCTGTTTCATTTTGCCCCTGGATGCCATCTAGATGAGAAGACAAAGCTCTAGGTTATTCACAGATGTATTCAGCAGATGGCTAATGAGACCCACTGTGCCAGACACCATCCCAGGTTCTTTCAGCAAATAAAAAGGAGCCACATTCACTTGTCAATCTTTATGTTTAAGGACCATCAGCCTATGGTAATAGCTGTCAGCATTTGTACAAATAATTCCTTCTATATGTCAATTCTTTTAGACCAAGAGATCCACCGTCTGAAAATGGGCATGGAAACGCTGCTGGTTGCTAATGAGGATAAGGTGAGACATCGCTGTGACACCCTGTTCTTTCCTTACAGGCACCACTGACTCTGTTTGCTCCCTTCTGGTCTCTACTCTACTAGATAGTGGCATGCTGTCATTGACAAGATGTTACAATCACAACTTTTCAGAGGAGACTCATCTTTAGTACATGTTTATTTGCCTGGGAATTTTACCTACACTCAGTCTCTCAAAAGCAGCCTAGAGCCCTGCCTGTCCAAGGTGGTATGCTGAAAAAAATACCCCTGTGCTCACTAATGCCACAACTCCTAGCAAAACTCAGCGATAGCCCCTGTGTGTGCAATTTACTCCTCATAGAACTATCATAGAGACACTCGGCAGCACGCAGTGCCTCAGTTTATCCTGCTACCTTACATTCTTCATATCTGATTCCTACATAATCATAAAATGACCTCATCCTCACATAGCAAAGCACTTAACTAGTGTCTCTGGGAATCACAGCCCCATATTCTCAGCTGAAGAGAGATAATTTTGCACAGGATCAGGTGACTGGCAGATAGCAGACATACCCACATATCCCAGGATCTGTGTGACCTGAGTCCCCAGACTATAGCCTTGAAATAATGAATCCTTTCTTGGAATATGTTCTGTTGTGTAAAGTACTTCAGACTACTAAGGAATGGGTGGGGAAACTGGGATGTGTCTTACGTGTGTAGCCCCAGAGGGTGATCCAGGAATCATAGGTGTTCTTCGTGTAGGCTGTGTTAGGAGAGCAGGAGACAGAGTTATACTTCTGCCACCATGGAGGCCTCTTCAGGCTACGTCTATAGCGGCCTATGAGGCAGACCGCTAGGGCCAACTGAACCTTGAATTTCTCTTTTGGAGGTCCTTAGAGGTCTTAAATGGGGTTTTCTTTATTGTGTTCCAAATAAAGTTAACCAGTGGTGCTATTAATCTTCCTCTGCTCTTCTGCCATGGCAGGACCGTCGGATAGAGGAGCTAACGGGGCTGTTGAACCAGTACCTAAGGGTGAAGGAGATTGTGATGGCAGCTCAAGGTAAGAGGAGGAGAAACCAACCCATTTCCCTTGAAAGACATTTCATCTCCTCTGCCAGAGGCAGGAGAAATTCTGCTATCAGGTCGCTTGTCCCCTGACGGGAGATGTACTGGAGAGTGGATCTGTGTGTAGACTCTTGGATGGTACAGATGGTGATTTCTAGAAATTTCATCAAATAAAACTTGTAGGAACTTCACAAGAAAATATAGCATTCAGTTTTAGCTCTTGGGAACCCTCCAATCTGTCTTCTTGGGATCCACCTCAGAGGGACTGACAGGAGTCAGGCTGGGTCTGTCAGAGGCCTCATGGGTTTCTCACAGGGTCTGAAGTTCCTGACAGGTGTAGAAGACAACTTGGGGACTCTGTGAGTCTCCAGGTTCCCAGGTTGCTGTAGAAAGTCATGTATTTCATGTGTACTACCCACACAAGTGCAGCATATAGTAACGTGTGTATTCACATGAGCACAGTGGTGCTCGTGTGGCCCATGCCATGAAACTGGCTCTCCTTGTAGATCCTGCAGGAGCAGTTACTTTGCACAGGAGGGCTGTTTTAAGGATATCTGATTCTGGCTGAGCTACTAACTCTGTTTGGAAACAAACTTTGTCTCTACTGGGTTAGGAACTGACTGGTTCCTGCCCAAGGAATCCGCCAGGCTCTTGTCTCAGCCTCTTTTCTCTAATTCTTTTTTATCTTGGGCCAGATACCTCATGAGTCCTGGTTGCCCTTTGCCAAGGATTAAGAAAGCTAGAAGCAAGAAGAAGCTTACCTCTGTTCAAGAGATAAACTTTAACCATAAAGTGACCTTCATGGCAGCCCTTGATTGGACATCCTGGAGAATTTTTCCAATCACACTATTAACGTGTCTTTATGTAGTAATTGCTCTTTTTATTTCGATAAAATACCAAACAAGAAACAAGGAAGAGAGGAAGAATTTATTTGGCTCACAGTTTGAAAACACAGTGTGCCATGGCAGCAGGAGGATGTAGCGACCCCTTGTATTCTGATTGGCCAGGAAGTGGAAAGACTGAACAGTAACCTCCAAGGATCACAGCTCAGCTCAGCAGCCCACATCCTCCAATGAGGCCCCACCACTGAAAGGTCTCCCAGTTCCCAAAACAGCAATGTTGGCCCGCGAGAACCAAACAGGGGCACCATAAAAAGTGCTCAAGCCATAGCACTTTCCGTGTGTCTTAGTACTTCTGTTTTTGAGACAGAATGGAGTCAATCCCTCAAGCTGAAACAACCCTCCTCAGTATGTGTTAATGAAGATTACACACATGAGGGTTTTGTGGTATGATTCTTCTGAGCAAGTCTCACAATAGTGATTTGCTACCGTTGCTTTACTGTTTCCAGGGCCTTCCGAGAGAACCCTCTCAATCAATGAAGATGAAATGGAGGGGAGCGTTAGAAAACGGAACACCACAAATAAAAACCCTGAGGAAGTACTGAAGCAAGAGGTACCGCGCTTCCTCCCGCAGTGGGGTACAGGTGTCCTTGGGCGTGTGTCTTGACTTGGAAAGGCATCTGTCAAGCGCCTGTCCGCTATGCATCTTAACGGATGAATAGTTGTGCCCAGGGATTTGTCCTCAAGCTCCAGCAAGAAGGTTGGGGAACAAGGACCCAGGCTCAGGCCTGAGCTCTGGCTAGGGACAGTATGGTGGCCACTGGGACTCTGAAGGGCAAGAATTTTCTTATTTAATTGGCTCTCTGTTTATATTTCCTCCTGCCGTGTATTACAGAACAAGGGTAGTGTTTTTATTTACCAAGGCTTCTCCAGAGTCTGATACCATGACTTATTCCCAGTGGACTTCAGCATATTTGGTTAATAAGTGAGTCCACCTTAAGACACAGGCATTGTCCCCAGCAGATAGTCCTGCCTCACACACACCTCTGCCAGCCCCTCTAACCTGCACATGGATTTTCTTCTCTTACTTTAGAATCGGGTCCTACTCTGTCACTCTCTAGAACTTGGTAAAACACAGATAAGTGAACAGGTTCATAGACAGAGGGCTTGAGGGGGTGGGGCCGCACCAGGGGCAAAAGATCCCTGCGCTCTAGAAAAATCAAACTGAAAATGATTGTTTAACCGTCCAGCTGAATCATTTCTTTAACAAAGGACCAAATGTCCTCCAGTGAAACCCCCTGCCCCATTAGTGACTCAATGAAGGCACATTATGTTGCTGGTAGTTATATGTGAGCAGTAATCAGGACTGTCATGAGCAGTGTGCATGGCTCAGTTCTTACGACACCCTGTAAGGGCTCTTGTTTTACTACAATAAGGCCGAGTTTCAGAGAGGGTGAATAATAGTCTCTAGGTCACACTGTAGGTCAGTAGCAGAACAAAGCTTAAACCCAGATCTGTCTGACCAGCAAGCTCCAGTCTTTAATACCTGTGCTATGATGTTAGAGACTTTCCTAGAGAAAGCCAGGAAGACCTGAGGCTTGACGGAAAAGACTTGTGGTCAATGCACCAGTGAAGACTGGACTGTGCCCTGTTATTCTCGTTGGCTTGGGCTCATCCTGAGATGGTGTTTTCTTTCTTACCTTCCTAATGAACCCCTTCTCACTTCTCGGTGAGAATTCAAGCTCAGTGTTCTCTCCTCTGGTGCCACCTCACAATCTCCCTGTGGAGAGGGACATTTCTCCCCATCACACCATGGTATGTCATTGGTGTCAGTGCCATAGCAGGTGACATTGTTTCTGTACATTTCCTACTATAGGATTATTAATCTGCCCCCTGGAGGGGATTATGCACATCCCTAATATAGGATTATTAATCTGCCCCCTGGTGTTTATCATGCACATCCCTACCATAGGATTGTGAATCTGCCCCCTGGTCGGGATTGTGCATATTGATGTGGACGCTTGCTGAGTGACTATATCACTCATGTCCTCTCAGAGTCTCGAAATTTGACTCTGACTCACTTAAGCCCAAAGAAGGTGCTTTAGGTAGTGTGTGATGGTGACCCACTGAATGAAAGAAGGTAAGAGACAAGCTATGAAAGGACAGAGGCATTGGCAGCCCCCAAGTTCTGGGAGTCTGCTGCTGGGACCTGGACTTATGTCTAAGGTCTAGAGCTTAGGGACAAAGGGTGATTTGACCCTGGTGGCTTGATATGCTTAGCGTCTCTCAGAACTGGTGTATTACTTGATCCATGTTGAGCAAAGCATCCACATGAATGCACCGACCGTGGCTGTAGCCATGGATAGAAATATTTTTCTCAGAGGAGTCATCAAGGGGGACGTTGGGTTCCCAAATGCTAACTGCCTTTCTTTGCTGCTCTTCTGTTTGTGAAACAGGTATCACCACGATGCAGCTCTCCCACCCCAGGGCCACCTCCCTTGCCGCAGAAATCATTGGAGACCAGGTAGGAGAATTGGACGTCTTTCTCTTCTCAGTGCTTACAAGGTGGATGGTGACTGGGCAAGTGTGGTGAGCATAGCCCCAGGGTTCTGGGCACAGTGTCAAGCCAATCTCTCCTGGCTACTCAGGGATTTCTCTCCCATAGATTGAGAGTCACTGACATTGAGGAAAGGCCAATCAGGGGACTCATTGACTATCACTCCTCTATTTCCACTGTGGTCACTGGCAGCATTGCCCTTTTGCTATACATTTGATGTCCTTGGCAAAATAGCCCCTATGAAGAATGCTCAGGACAGCTAGAGCCAGGATGGAGGCTTGAAGGATCCTAGGTAATGCTTCAAGCTGTGACTGTCTGGTATACTTGACTCCTCTCAAAGAAGGTGTCTGCAGCTTCCTGCCCAGATTGCTTTTGGATGTAAAGACAAGTCAGCACCAGCATTTTTCCTCCCCCTTGACTTTGCAGATACTGGGTTTCCTCTGGGAGACCCAGGAGTCATCTCTGACCAGTACCACTCACTGTTGGGCCATTCTTTCCCTAAAGTCTTATATGCGGGTGCGTACTATAAGGGTGATTTATCTCTGACCTTTACTCTAAGGCAAGCTGCTGGGTAAGCATCTGACATGCCCTGTGCATGAATGATACCGAGTGACTCCTCCCATGGTCATTGTGATTCCTTTCTTCTGTGTTTATCTAGGGCTCAGAAGAAACTCTCCTGTAGTCTGGAAGACTTGAGACGTGAATCTGGGGATAAGGTCAGCCCATTAACCAACTGTGCCAAGTGCTGAGTTACTCCTTTAGGCCCAGCACAGTGCTGGGATGTATAAGTGGGCAAAACCAGGTTTGGGGGAACATGGGAGCAGGACAACAAGGTCAGAGCCATATGCCATGTCAAGCCAGAACAGATCATGGGATTCTGGCCTCATCTCCCCAGTATGCCTGGGATATCTTCAGGGGTTCAGAATGAAGGAGTAGCCTAGGTAATGGGGGTGATTTCCAGAATACAGCCTGGGATAATCTGGAAGATTAGAAAGGTAGCTTTAAAGAAGCCTGAAAAGCTCTGAGGAGGACTTTGTAGCCCCCTGTGTAAGAATGGACTTGGCCATGTGACTGGGCCCATGGTTGGAGGGAACAATGGGAGGCTTTGAGCCTAGCAATGACTAAGCACAAGTTCTGCCCTGATGGAGCCTCTGGTGAGCCATACTGCATACTGTCTCCTGATCCCCATTGGAGTGACTTGGTGGAGATCCACAGAAATTGGAGTTGATAGCCAATTCTCAGCCATGTGCCTCTTGGTCTATTGATCAGACTTTTGGCAACTGTCCAGGATATCTTTCATTGACTAGACTGTGTCTTGTTTCCCGCTGTGAGTGGTGATCCTCTAACATGAAGGATTGGGATGGTGTCCTTACATCAGATGTAAACAGGCAGGTGGTTCTGAACTACTCAGTGTGACTAACACAACTTTCTTTTTCTCCTCATGTTCGAATCTTTTTGTCACTCCATAGTGTGTCGATGGGAACCAGCTATCCCTGGTGGGAGAGCCCAAGGTATGTTCCTTTATGTCTTTATCATCTATCCTCGGTTGTAGTGTTTGCTAGAGTATTTTAACAAAGTACAGCTTTTTAGCCTTAAAATACATTAACTATAAGCGTTAAGAAGGAGTGAGGAAAGAGAAAATGTCATTGTTGTGTTGTCCATATGCATAATGCACTATCTCTGCCGTCATCTGTGGTATATCATTTATCATGATCACCTCTGCTTTGTAGGCTCAGAGAAACTAATCTTTGCTGAAGGGCTCTTGGCTTAGTTACTATATAGGAGATGTAGTCTTCTACATAGAAGAATGTTGACAGAACTCTCCTGTGCTGGGATGCCATGGTTAAAAACACAGGTGTGCACTCAGACTGCCTTCAGTGGACAAGTTATGTTATAAAAGCTCCATTAGACCCATTTTCTCCTAGAATACCGCAGTGGCAGATGACGGCAGTTTTAGGCTGGTAGACATAGACCAATATTGAGCCCATGGTAAACCGAAGCCTCCTATAATTAGTGTCAGCCCCACCCAGTCACCAACTATAGCATTTTAAGGGGAATGTGCTGTGCATTGCCCTTCTGTCTCCTCTGCCTTTCAGAGGAGACACGAGACTTCACTGCATGTGCTTTGAGAAGGCTCTGCATGCTTTCACACCACTATGGCAGCATGGGGGCATTTCTGCTCTTCCGACTCTTTGTGGAAGAAAGGCTATATCTGTAGCCATATCTTGGTGAAAGGCTTCTCTTTACTTGTGTACTTATGGTAGTCAGTGCTATGGTTAGTCAGCCATTCCTTGAGCCATGGAGATTGGTGAGCAAATGTCTCTGACTGATCTTCTGTCCTAAAGCTTTGAATACTCAGTCCCTTGTGTTTTGTGTTTGGTAAAGCTCTGGGGCCCAGCTATCCCTCCTCCAGCCTCAGCTTCAGAGAAGCCATTCATACTTATCTCTAAATGACAGATGTAATGGCCGCAGCTGCTTCATCCTTCATGCTTTAAGACACCGAGCTGCTTAGCATGGGAGATGAGTGATGCCGAGTGCTTACAAAGAGTGCATATTCCAGGCTAAACCTAGCTCTCCCGCTCCTTTGATCAGAATTACAATCTTGTGAAACTTCACTTAGCTCAACCTGTCTACTTCTTCCCTGCATTTACACACCACCTCATCCCACCACCATTCCACAGATACAGTAGCTTTTCCACAGCATCTCCTTACTGCGGTTGTTGAGTATAAACTAGGACTTTTTATGCCGGAGTGTTCCTTATGTCCCAGTCACCCTTGCCTTCTGGCTGCTACCCATGACTCCTGCACCCCTGACATGCTCTCCTGTGGAATGAGTGTGTCTCTCCCATTGCCATCACTCTAGAATTGAGTTCCTCCAGTCCCCTGTGAGTGCTTTCTTCTCAGAAATTACATTGTCTTCCCCTGTATGTGGGTCAGCAGACTTAAATGCCCTCATTTCTCAGTGGATTCTTTAAATTGTGCCCAGGACAGATAGGCATGATATTCTACATGCAACCTGTGGTATGCTTTTCTGGATCTAGGGTGCTTCATTGCTGCCCCCCTTGGACCTGGCCTCTTACGTTTTTTCTGGGCTTCTGTTGTCTTGTGGAAGCTGTTTGCTGGGCTCTGGGCATACTGTTTTCAACTAGTCCAAGAGAGGAATTGTTATTCCCCTATTAGAAATGACTGAATAGAGGGTTTGAGAAGTTAAAAAGAAAGGGCTTTCCCTGAACCATTCTGGCCCCAAACCTAGCTGTCTGTGTTGGCAGACCACCCCTTTGTTCTGATTTAAAGCAGGTGGGTAATAGGTTCTGTGCTGCTCTTTGGCTCTCCACTGCCGGGGTTATACTTGAAGACGGGAAACAGGACTGGGGTCAGATATTTCTGTCTCCTTCCTGTCCTGCCTTGACATGGCCCTTCTTCCTCCAACAGCTTTACTTCTTGGCTGAAGCAGAACTCAGAGAGCCGACTCCATTGCTCCCTGTTCCCTATGGGTCTGGAGCCTCAGCCTTCCTTGGGTTAGGGAGTATCTGTTTGTATATCAGCTCTTCAGAAGAATATCTGTGTCCCCATCACTCTCTGGGTGGTCATGGTCAGGGTCTTTCTACTGTCATGCCCCTATATTAGAGATTCTTATATGCTGACAACCAAAAACCTATATTGAAATTCCTTGCCCATTTTGTATTTCTTATGTAAGATGGAACTTGGTGTCAGGCTCTTTGATTCTCTAGTCTTAAAAACAAAACAACTGTGTTCTTGTGTCTGTGCATACCCGTGCATCAGAGGTCAACTTATGGTAGCTGATTTTCACTGAAGCAGGACTCGTGTTTCTGTTGCTGCCTTCTGACTGCAGGCTGACTGACCTTCAAGTTTCTGGGAGATTCTCCTGTCTCTGCCTCACATCTCAAAAAAATGCTGGAATTATATGTAAACCACCATGTCTGGCTCTTTATGTGGGTTCTAGGAATTGAACTTGAGTCACTGGGCCTATGTAGCTAGTGCCTTTACCTGCAGAGCCATCTCTCCAGCCCACAGTTCTCTTTTGACTACTCCCTTCCCATGATCTGAGTCTGACTAAATATAAGAATAATCCAAGACGCTTGTTAAAAATACAGACTCCTGAAGTGGGTGCATTTTCAGAGGAGCCAATTCACAGGGCCAGGGAGGAGCCTGGGAGTTGGTGGTGTCTTTGATAGTGCCTCAGGGGAGAGTGAGGCAGCTGCCAGTGAATGAGCTAGCCCTGGGAAGCTGTTGGGCTGGTCCACAGGTCTGATCATGCCTGACCTCTCTGCCCTGAAGGTCATCACAAGCTTGAAAATGCCATGCTTTCATCTTTGGAGGTTCTGACGTGGCTACTCATGGACCAGATCTCTTTAACAGTCTTGTTTACTCTGTCCATATTTCTCCTTCCTAAGCTCATCTGGGAGGTGCTTGTCATTGTGCAGTGAATGAACTGAATTTCAAACAGCTGCCGGGACATGGAAGCAAACTGAATTCAGAAATGCACTGCTCACTTGGCTTTCAGTGAACAAAGCTTCAAAAGGCGCCTTGGTCTTGGCAGTCATCCAATCCCATTCTGACTTAAAATTGGTTCTACCTCTCATAATACTTTTCTTCTGGGTCCAATCAAGTGATCTATAGTTGATGTCATCTTATTTTCTCTTTATTCTCACATTTGCAATGCATTTTATATGTTTTCCTCAGGCTTGTAGCATTAGTGATCTTTATATACTTCTTGACAAAATAAGTGCTAACCTTTCTCTCTAAATCAGCCTGCTTCTTTGGGGTTTATTTTTAGGCAGGATCCAAGCACAGGGCTTGTTGCACCAAAGTAGATGATTAAGTGGATGATTCTAAGTTCCTATTGGAACTGGGTTGGATTGTAGCCTCCAGCTCCCCAAATGTATACTTAGGCTCTTGGCCTGTCTTAATATGATATTGGGCAAAAGAACCATTATCACAACACAGACTTTTCCTGCTACTATTTAGGATTTAGACTCTCATACCGTTGCTGTACCATGGCCTTTCATCAGTCATGGCCTGTATAATCTGTGCTCACAGCTAAGCCCTTGGAGAGATCTGCCTAGGTCTGGTATGACTAGGGATCTTACTTAGCAAAAGCCCTCTTTCCTGATCATGGGAAAGCAAGTATGGGGAGAGCAGGGACTTCTGGACCAGAATACTGTTGCTCTCCTCTCCTACCAGCTAACTGTGGCTTGTGTTTTTGAGGACCCAGGGAGAACGCATTACGATAAATTCACTGAACCTCTATCATGGGAGAAATGGCACAGGGCTCTCTTTTGCAAGCAGCTGCAGTTTTCTCTGGATTTGGGTTTGATACCTTCTCTGTCTTACTATGTGGGTAAATCTTTACCTTTCTCCTGGACTAGGAGAAGCAATCTTGGAAGGATCTTTGAGACAAGCTAAATGAAAGTGACCCTTGAAGAAAGGGTTTATGCACACACAGACTTCCTAACTGGTTTGAGCTGAAGTCTGATGGTTAATTTGGCATCTTTCTTTCCAATAGGACAGCTCTTTCCCAGCGGATCAGAAATACCCTACATTACCTGGGAAGCTCTCAGGCACCACGCCCAATGGAGAAGCTGCCAAGTCTCCTCCCACTGCCTCCTCCCAGCCTGACTCTTCAGGGAGCAGCCTGCTGAGGCTGAGTAAGTATCCAGCCCCTGGGTTGGTAGCCTCAGGGACTCTGTCCTTAACACATTAACTGTAGCTATAACTGCAGCCCACAGAAGGAGTGGTGGGGTTGTTCCCAGGCAAGTTGTGTCCCGCAGTGGTTCCACTTTAAAGATTCCCTGCGTGGATAAGCTGCTTCCCCAGTTGTTGTACCTCCATTCTCCCCTCTGTCCATTCTTCCTCGAACCCCTGCCTGTCCTCCCCACTGTTGCTTTTTTTCTCGCGCTCTTAGATATTTCCATTTATTCTTCACGACCTGCTCTCTTCATCTGTCATCCTGGTCTTCTCTCTCCCATGTCTGCCATTGATGTGGCCCATGTTACCAATAGACCGACAGTGTACAGACTCCCACGTCAGAGTAGTTCAGATTCAGACAGCAGCAGAGAATTTGGTGTTCACAGAGTTCTCCCTACCTACCCCTAATTCCTCCACCTCCCTATTCCCTGGGCCACCTCATGCTTTAGTTCTTGAAACCCACATCTGCACTGGGCTTCCATAGGTCCAGATAAGCCCATAAATAACTGTGTTCAGTTAGACTCAGACTGTTTCAAGTCATTTAGTATGAGTTCTGGCCCCGATGCAGAGGCTGCCTATGACAAAGAGTATATTCCCCCCATCCGGCTGCTGACCCTCCCTCCCTGCCTGTGTACACCTCAGCATGTAAGGAAGTGGCACCAGAATACTTTGGCCTGGTGCCTCCTCTCAACATGCTCACCCTTTACCTCATCCTTTGTGGGATTGTTTTCTTTTCTGTTTGAGTTTTTCTCTTTTGCTCGATGATACTCTTATTATTTCTTTGCTCCCCATTACTGTTGGGCTGGACTTTGGCCTCTCTTGCTTCTTCATGTGGCTTCTCTGCTTCTGGGTTGCTGGAGATCGCGGCTGGAGTGTCAGTGCTCCTGTATTAGGTACTGTGACTATTCCAGGTGAGACAGAATGTGAGAATTCCTTGGTTTCCCATTTCTGATGCCCTGCCCACATTCCAAAGTCTCCCTCCCATTAAAAGCAAGCTCCTTGTGGAAATAGTCTACAATTACTTGGACCCCAAACCTTAGAATTGAAGATGTTAAATCACATAGATTTGAAACATTGGCCTCAGCAGTTCTTGGTGAGAGGCCTTGGAGGTGTCCCAAGCTCTTTAGGCTCCTGGCACCTTGAAATGAAGCTCTGTCCTAAGGGCAACACTGGGAAGAGTGTTCTGGACTTTTACAGAAGGATAGCTCTGGTGTAGGGGTGGGGTTCCGAAGGTCCTCCTCATTCTCATTCACGTATTTTTCAATCCTGCCCACCTTAGGAGAGACAGAAAGTGGTTGGGAAGATACAGGCGTGACCAATGAGCTCTCATCTACTTCATCTGGTACTGAGTCCAGCCCCCAGTCTCCCCTGACACCAGACGGGAAACGGAGCCCCAAAGGCATCAAGAAATTCTGGGGAAAGTAAGTTAGTAGTAATGGTTATAATCTTGTGCTTAGACAAGGCAGATGCTGTGTGAGTCCCTGTCTACCACACGTTCGCATAGCTGCAGAAGCAGAATAGTCACATTCAAAGAGAAGAATGTGACTTGTTCTGCAGGACTCAGAGAAATGTGACAGGCAGTAGTTAAATAGAGCTAGTTGCTGCGTGCCTTTCATTCTAGGCATCCATATATCCCACATGTCCTGCTCCTGTTCTCAGCAGATTACACTACCTGGGCTTCTGGGGAGGCACAGATGAGACCAGGCTCTTCTTTTCTTAGGAGCCAGTCTGTGTCTTAAAATCTTTTAAAGACCAAAAGCTGAGTACTTGCTAGTCCAACTGATTTATTCTGAACAGAGGCAGAAGCTGGAGTTTCCTCAAAGACATCAGCCTTTACTTTGATCCTGTGAGGAGTAGCCCAAAGCCCAGAGTTGGGCTTAGAATTGAATCTCAGAGTCTGGCGGAAACACTGTAGGTCATGTTCCTTGGCTTCAGGACAGGGACTTGGAAGGGTATTGCCTGAGTCCTGAGCCTGGCCTGCCTAGTCTTCACAATCTTTTGTGGATTCTTCTCCATGCAGAATCCGAAGAACTCAGTCAGGAAATTTCAACACTGATGCACCAGGGATGGCGGAGTTTCGACGAGGTGGGCTCCGGGCGACTGCAGGGCCAAGACTTTCTAGGACCAGGGATGCCAAGGGACAGAAATGGTAAGACTATCCAGCCCATCTTCAAAGAGCTTTGTGAAATCCTGGCCAGGATGCAGTGTGAGCAGGGCTAGTGTTCCACAGCCTCAGAGGCTAAAGCCTGGACTCTTTCATATAGGCCTTATTTATTGCCCACACTCATAGGTACTGAGGTAAAGAGGCTTGAGATTCCCTGCAGCTGGCGTGGTTGGGGTAGGACGGCTGTATTTGCAACTTTTCTGACTTTCACAAACACCAAACCTGATAAAAAGCAACTTGAGAAAGGAGCTCTGTCTGGCTTACAGCCCAGCCCACCACAATGGGGAAGGCATGGTGGCAGGAGCTTAGCTAGTAGGCAGAAAGAGATGAGGTAAATGCTGATGTCAGCTAGCTCCCTCCTTTTGATCCAGCCTGGGACCCAAATGATGGAATGATGTTGCCTAAATTTAGGTTGAGTCTCACTGCCTCCGTTAACCCAACCCAGAATCTCTCATAGAACAACCCACAGATTTGTCTTCAAGGTGGTAACGGATCCTGTCAGGTTGCAGTATTAGCTGTCAGAAAGACTGTTAATGGCTCCGCTCCACCATCACTCATTGTCAGCAATGCCTTTCACACCGGACTGTTGAGTTCTGTTGAAGCCAATCCGAGCAGACTCTGGAATCCCAAAGCTCGGTTGCTGTCTCTACTTAACCACCCCTAACTGCAAGCTGCATGCTATTACCTGGCCTCTGCCCCCTCCGCTCCCCACTTGTAAAATGGGGATTGAAAATAAGTATTCAGCTTTTTATGAGAATTGTGTGAGCTACTGCACATCTGACTCAATCATAAGCCACATGCCCACGCAAAGGTCAATATCCTCTTGCCTTTGGAGAGTCTTGGAGCAGCCTGCATCTGCCAGTATCCCTCATAACTATATTACAGCGAACTTCACTGAAGGGGGGGTGGTAACTGAAGGGGCCGCTAAGGTTTGAGGGACCTGGACACCAAAATGCTGAGTTTTACATGACTGTCCCATCATGCTCTAGTAAAATATACACAAAACCTGCACATCTGTTTGGAGGTGCCCCAGACGGAACTCTTCCGCTACTTCCCTTGCTCTTCTTTTCTGAGAGATCGTCTCCCACAAACCTGCCTGTGGATCCTTGCTCATGTTTGCTGAAACCCTTGTCTGTTTGAGCAGTCTCTGTGACACAGGCACCTCCAGCAGTATCTCTGGAAGCCCGATTTGCAGAGCCAGCTTTGGTACTGTTAGGTCTTCCACAGAACTGGATTGTGCTAGTTAAAATCTTACCGAAGGGAAACAAACTCTCCTGTTTGCCCTCAGGATTGGCACACACCAGGGAGAGAGGTTCCAGAGGTGTTCACAGAGCAAATTCTAGTTCCCAGAAACAACACAGTTTTCTACCACAGAGAAAAGAGCATTTCCTGAAATGTGTTCTGTTGTTCATAAACATTCTGTACACCTCCCTTCCTGGAAGGGATCCTTAACTTATTACCACTCTCAGTTTCCAAGACTTTGCCAGATCGTCATAAGATCATTATAGTGTTTGAGACACAGGACCTTTTTTTTTTAACCTCTCATTAATGGGTATCAAAGGAGGAGGATGGTAGTGATCCTTCTAATCTCAGATATAGATTTATCCTCAGGAAATCGCAGCCTTTGGGGGCCTAGAGAGCCTAACAGCACAATTCAGAAAAGCTGTCAATCAATTTGGAGCCAAAGAAAGCTTACCTATAAATTCCAAAATTAGATACCGTCATTTTCCTAGCAACTTTTCTAATTTAGACACTTTGTTTCTAGATTTTCAGAGATGGGAAAGTAAAGGTACAGAAAACTTCAGTGCTGTATCTTTAAAGACTGAGTGTAGCAGGGGAATCTTTGCATAGGGTGGAAGAACATGTATTACACCAGCAGGCCTTTCCCTAGCCAGTTTGCTGTGTTCCTGTCACTCCAGGGCCTGGGGTAGCAATACCAGGAACACCCTCTGTCTTAAGAAGGAGTTTCAGGGGCTGGAGAGATGGCTCAGTGGTTAAGAGCATTGCCTGCTCTTCCAAAGTTCCTGAGTTCAATTCCTGGCAACCACATGGTGGCTCCCAACCATCTGTAATGAGGTCTGGTGCCCTCTTCTGGTCTGCAGACATTCACACAGAATATTGTATACATAATAAATAAATAAATATTTTAAAAAAATGAAAAGAAGGAGTTTCAGTGCAGGGACTGATCCGCTGCAATGTCTTTGTGCTTTGTCGACCGTGACAATGGTTGATGTAAGGACGAATTAAGAGGTTCTGGTGAGCTTGCTTTGTTTATCTTTACAAGACATATGGTAGCAACTATGAATTGCCCCTGGGAAAAGAAAGACTGTTACTGCCCTTAAGGAGAATATAATTACATGACAATGCCCTCTGCCATTTAATTTTTAGATATTTAATACATAATGTTTTAGAAGAAATTGCCACTAGTATTCTCTTGCGGAAAGCACTTGATTCCTGAGTGCTCTCAGCACCAATTCTTTTCCAATGAAAATTAATGTATTTTGGAAAATTTTGACAATGTTCTTTAGAAAATTTCAGATCATAGAAAAACAATTTTTGTTGTTTCATTCCCCCACGTAAGGTCTTGCTGATTTTTATCATATAGCACACTGTACAGAGAGTCTTTTGCCTATAATCGGAGACTGTTCTTCTGTTTTCTGGCTGCCCAGACCCAAATAATCAGACAAAAACTATATACACGGTTTAGCTAATGGCTCAGGTATATTCCTAGCTAGCTCTTACATCATAACCCATTTCTATTAATCTCTGTATCACCACAAGGCTGTGGATTACCAGAAAGGTTCTGGTGTCCTTCTCCTTTGGCAGCTACATGGCATCTCCTGACTCCACCTTCTTTTTCCCAGCATTCAGTTTAGTTTTCTCATCTAGCTGTATTCTGCCCTGTCATAGGCCAAAGCAGCTTCTTTATTAACCAATAGTAATAAGACATATTCACAACATACAGAGGAGAATCCCATATCAGTCGCCACTATATCCTTACCAAAATTATGCATTCAAGTTTTTTCTGTTTAATTCCTCTTATAGGAGAGACATGCCACAAACTTAGGGGTTTTTTTCCTGTTTAATTTTCCCATTTGTTGGTTTAGATTGTAAATATTCTGTATTATAGGCTAGTTTTAATTAGTATCTTTATTATAAATTTCTGTCTGTTCTCTGCATATTGAAGTTAAGCCATGTCTGGTAATTATGGCTTGGGACTTATACCAGAATTTCACTTTTGTTAGTGGTACTTTGATAAATGAAACTTTTATATTTATATATGATGAGGAGCTTTGATTTCTTTGTTCTGGTTGGGGAACAAAGGTTAGTCAAATAGCCAGGTTGGTCTCAAATTCAAGATGCCCCTGCCTCAGCCTTCCAAGTGTTAGGATTACAGGCCTGTATTAACACACAGCAACTTCTCTTTTGATATTCATTATTTTGTTTGACTTTTTCTCACAATATTTAAAGACTGTATTTAAATAATTTATTTGAGGATTCACTTGAGCATGTGTGTTTAATATGAATTTAATTTTTTTTCTCCTCAATAAAAGGTTGTATTTAAGGCAGGCAGTTTCTGGAGCCATATGTTGGATCCCGTCTGTCTTACTTACTTTCTGTTGCTGTGGTAAACACCATGACGAAGGCAACACATAGAAGGATAAGGTTCCAGACGGTGGGAGTCCATCATTATAGGAAATTGTGGCAGCAGGTAGCAGGCTTGACAGGAGGAACAGCGCAAGCAAGAAGCAGAGAAATCTCAAAGCTATCCCCAGTAGCACACCTCTCTCTAGCAAGCCTGTGCCTCCTAAACCTATCTAACCAGTGCCACCAACGGGGACCAAGTATTCACATCTGAGCCCATGTGGCACATTCTCAGAGTTTCGTGTATGTGTGGAAGATACATTCTCATTTCGATCACCACACCATCCTTGTAGGCTTCCCGAGCTGGTGTATTGAGAACATTGTCCTCCAGGACTTCGGCATTATGAGGCAGATGCTCCCACCTCAGACATGTTTGTTTGCCCTTTCTTTCCCATACTCACTGTCAGAGTCAGATTCATTCAAAAGGTAAAGAAAATTCCAGAGAGGATCCAATTAGAGTTGAGCCATGTGCTTTGAAACTGTGAACACTGCTGACTGTTCTTACTCCCATGTTCTAACTCTGAACTATCCCTTGCACTGGATGATAATAGAAGTGATAGCCATTTATATCAGAATTCTACCTTTGTTAGTGATACTTTGATAAGTGAATATTTTCTACTTATATATAATGAGGTTCATTGACTTCTTTGTTTTTGTTTGGTGGAATAGAGTTTAGTTAAATAGTCAGGCTGGTATCAAATTTAAGTTGTTTCTGCCTCAGCTTCCCAACCAGTGCCAGATAAAAGCCCAGACGGCTGGCACATGTCTGTGCCATCCGAGTGCAGGGGGGAGCTCAGTGGCCAGCCAGTTTAGCCAGTTGGTGGGCACAGGTTTCCTTGAGTGGCTCTGACTGAAAATGTAAGGTAACATACAGTGCATACACATGTATATGCCCACACATGAGTGCAGCATGCACATCTGCATGCACATGCAAAAGAAACAAGTTACAAAGCTGGGTATGGTGGCTCATATTTATATTGCCAGCATTTAAAAGATGTGTTGCCAAGAATTCAAGGCCAGTATGAACCATAGGATGAGGCTTTATCTCAAAGCACTAAACACTAAAATAAAACAAAGCAAATTATAAGTCAAAATGCCAGATCCCATCCAGAGCGGTAAAGACAAGAGAAAGACTTCATACAGAAGTGACGAAGAAAATTGATATTAATTTAAAGTGAGTCACTTGAACTCACTGTGAAAAGGTTGTCATTTCTTGCTTGTTTTATGTCCTGTGCTGACATCAACAAAGACAACATAAATCTGATGCCCCTGCTCGAAGGACATGGACAACACACAGCTTAAGGGGTCTTTGTTGTAGGAGTGCGGCGGGCTGTGTCCCGCCGTCCGGCTTGCTTAGCCCCGAAATTATTACACAGAAACTGTATTCATTTAAACACTGCCTGACCCATTAACTCTAGCTTCTTATTGGCTAACTCTCACATCTTGATTAACCCATTTCCATTAATGTGTATCGCCACTTGACTGTGGCTTACCGGCATGAGTCTAACCAGCGTCCGCAGGAGAACCATGGCGTCTGCCACACTTCTCTTTTTCCCAGCATTCTGTTCTGTCTACTCCACCCACATAAGGGCTGCCCTATCAAAAGGCCAAGGCAGTTTTCTATATTCAACCAATGAAAGCAATGCAAATACAGAAGGACCACCTACACCAGATCTTATCAACTCAAGAGTCTAAGATTGGCCACCATACTGTAAATCCTGAGCTGTGTAGTGTTACCATTCATGCTACTTAATAGACATTTTCTGAAATATCACCAGTGATTGTGGAACTGATGTTGTTTTATTAGTTCCTATAGTAAAAAAAAATGAGGACACGTGATATAGCTCTATTGTAGAGTGCTTGCCTAGCATGTGTAAAGCCCTGCACTAAGGAGGCATACTGTTGCACACCTGTAATCCCAGCAATCCTAAGTTGGAGCAGACAGAAGAATCAGAAATTCAAGATCATCCTTAGCTGCATATGAGTCTGAGGTCAGTTTAAGCTGCTATAGACCCTGTCTCAAAAAAATAGATAAGGGTTAGCAGTGAAGCTAGAGAATGGAGCGAGTGCGTTTCTGCCTCATAGACAGTGCTCAGAGCTATGGGTGCATGAAGTGGGCGGAGTGCACACCTTAAAAGGGAGAGTAAAAGGTACTACAGAGCTGTGTTTAGGAATTCATTTAAAGTTTTTGAATTTTGTGGCAAATTTTATTATGTTAAACTTGCAATTTTTTACAATGTTTTATCATTCCAAATATTCCATAATTATATATTCAACTTTTATAATTTCTATACAGAACCTACCTGATTTCTACAAATTTTAGTTTTATAAAACCTGAGTCTGGACCTGTATGAGCCCTGCTGAAAGCCAAGCTCTAGGCTGGGAGTGTTCAGTACCTATCCCAGTATTTATTCTTGAATGCTGGCTTCTTTCTAGTCTTTAAGAAACTTCCCTGTTTAAGGACAGCTTAGCCAGGTATTCAAAAAGTTTTTAAAACCATTTCTGCATAGCAGGGGTGCAGCTGACTCTAGGTATCCAAGACTTCTGTAACTACCGATTCAAGCGAAGAAGGCTGGACAATGTAGGTACTCCTACAACAGTTACCTAGACTGCTCTGAATCTGCATGGACTTTTTCCCTAACAATCAAATTTTTCTCTCACAATAAAATGTAACACCTACACATGCTGTTTGTGTTGCTTTGGGTGTGGCAAGTAATCCAGGTATTATTCAAAGTATTTGGGAGGGTGTGTGTAGGTTTTATGTATACACTACATTTTCTGCCTGGGGCTGGAGCATCCAGCTGGAATCCATCCTCCATGAGTACCAAAGGAGAATTGTTCTTTGCTGGAAGGGAATCTCTGAATAACTAGCCTCCTAGATTCATAAATCCCCAGTTATATTTAAAACTGAAAATGAAGTTTTGTCCACTCTTTCCCATGCCTCGGTTGGGATTTCAGATTGGCCATTACATTCACACTTCAGATGAAAAATTGATGTCCTTAAGAACGGATGGTTTTTAATACCTAGTCTAGGAACATGACTTGGCTCTTTATTTATGTCTTCTCTTATGTTGCTCAGTTGAGTGTTGCAGCTCTGTTACCCCATTGTACCTCCACTCCAGCCTCCTACACAGCAGAGTGTCCCACCCTCCTAAGGCAGCTCCCAGAGAGGTTATGATTCTAGCTGGTTTGGTGGGGATGTTTTCGTTATTAATAAAAGCCATAGTATCTGTGTGGGTGATATCTAGAAAATGATGTTCGCATATAGCGCTCATTCCATATGCATATATGTGTTCATTTCTTTCCTACTTCCAGGGACTGGACTCTCATGTGTTTCTATGTAGGAAGCCTTGTCGTCTGGGAGAATTGAGCTCTTTATTTCCGCTTTTCTAAAGTTGTGCCACTTTTATGCAGTCTTACCTGAATAATCTCTCAGGTGGATGTTATTAATAAGCACGGATATACACAGGCACATATGCCTTTCTGTTGATAATAGTGGAAATGACCCTAGTATTTCATCAGTAAATAAGGTATTCACTGTTAGAAGTTAGAAGAGCTTTGGCTTGGGTTTTCTCTCTTTTTTTGTGTTAAAGAGAAAACTGTCTTTTCCTAGTTTCCAAGCATTTCCCTCAAAAGTGTTGAGTCTTACAGACAAAATTATTTGATCATAAGTGTTCATAGTGCATTTCTGGACCTGTGTGAACTGAACAGTCCCCAGGGATTATGGAGGCTATCCCATGCTCAGAAAAGCTTCAGATGAAACATAAAACCTCTTACTAAGATGGCTCTAGAGTCTTACAAATGTGGGTGAGTTGTGCTAGAATGCCTTGTACCATGTTGGCTCTTTTTTAAAGGAGTTTTTCTGAGACTTTGTGCTGTGCAAAGCTCCCTATTTCTTAAAACAGAGCATGTTCTTCTTCTGCTTCCCAGTGATGCCAACGCCCCTTTTGCCCAGTGGAGCACAGAGCGTGTATGTGCATGGCTGGAGGATTTCGGCCTGGCTCAGTATGTGATTTTTGCCAGACAGTGGGTGACATCTGGCCATACCCTACTGACAGCTACCCCTCAGGACATGGAAAAGGTAAGGACTGGGCGTGAGGAAGAGCTGCCCTCTTTCCCCCCAGGCCAATGCATGGGAACTAGCGAACGGGTAGGTGATGGCCTCCATCTACCCCATACACACAGGGTGAACAGGGAAGGCCGAGGTTCCCTACTGCTATAGGTTAATATCCCAGGGCACTGTGCAAAGATCTACCACCACCCTCGAGAACATCTCCATCTTGACATGACATTCTCTGAGGACCGAGTCGTCTGCCAAAACTTCACACATAGTCTTTATCTTTTGCTTTTAGGAGCTAGGGATTAAACACCCCCTCCATAGAAAGAAGCTGGTTTTAGCAGTGAAAGCTATCAACGCCAAGCAAGAAGAGAAGTCCGCACTGCTTGACCACATTTGGGTGACACGTAAGGACAGGCATATATTTATTAAGAATGTTTCTGGCTGTTCTGAAGGGCAAAAGAATGTCCCATTGATTGTATGCCCCAAGGATGCGCTTTCTTATGAAGGGCGGGTGGGTTCCTAATGCTTCGGAATAAAGTGAGAGCCTCAGGATGATCATTTGTCACCATTCCCTCGGCACCCACATTGTCTGTTCTCATGACACATTTGTTTCCGTAGGGTGGCTTGACGATATTGGCTTACCCCAGTACAAAGATCAGTTTCATGAATCAAGAGTTGATGGGCGAATGCTGCAATACCTAACTGTGGTGAGGATTTTCCCTAAGTATTTCTGTGTTCAGTGAGCACTCAGTCCAGGAGATCCTGTGATAGCTATTTTGACCTTGATTCTCCTCCCTTGCTCACATACTGAAGGTCCTGAAATAGTATCTGTTACATAAGGCATGCCAAATGCCAAAGTCCAAACCTTGGCGGTAAGTGGAACTGTAGAGATGTCCATGAGCACCTTCCTGAGACGTGGAAGGTGTGTCTGTGCTTGGTCAGGAAAGAACCGCTGGGGTCTTTGGTCACCTTAGAAACTGTCTTGTCAACCATAACCTCTCTCTTCCAGAATGATCTACTCTTCTTGAAAGTCACCAGCCAACTCCATCATCTCAGCATCAAATGTGCTATTCACGTGCTACATGTCAATAAGTTCAACCCCCACTGCCTGCACAGGAGACCTGCTGATGAGGTGAGGGATGTACTAGCTGTTGAGGTGGCCCTGAGTCAGGACACCTGAAATATCATGTGAGAAAGTGATGATGGCATCAGCACAAAATGGACAATGGTACTTAAGATTCTGGTACCTAAAAGTCCCCTAGTCCCTATACTTTGTATCTAATGGTAGTCACTAAACCCCTGATCCTATCTCACTATAGGATATCTCACTATACCCTCACTCAGGACAGTTTCTAAGTCATCACAGTGGCCCAATGATTTGTTATGACATAAAACGTGGGGAAAAGGAAAGACAGTATGGAACCATGGTATCAGAGTAGGCAGAGGAGGCAAGGTCCAGAGGGTCAGAGGAGACAAGGTTCCAAAAGTACTGTACAGTTCAGAGTGTGTTACTCTCCTTGCTGGAGCAAGATTAACTAGCCTTCAGCCTAGACATGTAGGATCTTACTAGAGGGGAACTAGTGTCGACAAATATGAAGGACCCCATATGTGTGTATAGATAATAATCTTCTATAAACTACAGCACCTCCGATAAGCCCCAAACTGAAGGCTTATGGGTCACATCATCACATCAACCTCCTCTGTTATGGGAACTGACCTGACTCGGGTTTTTTAGGGATTTAAAATGCCTACCTGTGCCTTCTGTCCTCTTATTTCCTTGCTCTTCAACAAATGGTCTTGCAGATCTTTGTAAGTGCTGAGCCTCTTGAAGCCTACAAGGCTGTGTGAAAGTATGTATATATTATTATGTTTTATAGAAAGATTTACTTTTTAATTTTGTGTGTATATATCACATATGTGTGGGTGGCTACAGAGGCCAGAAAAGAGCATCTGATCTCTTGGGGCTGAGTGGTTATGGGGCTGGATGGTTATGAGCCACCTGGCTTGGGCGCTATCCTGGGTCCTCTAGAAGAGCAGTAACATCCTACACTGCTCAGTCATCTCTCCAGACCCAGCTTCAATATCTTAATGTGAATTCCCTTAAAACATTTGCCCATGCCAGGAAGTATTTTCACCTAGACAACACTTGGCTCATAATCAAATCTTTAAATTCTGTTGGATCACTGAATAAAAACCTATATGTCTTTATTTATTTGTGCTAAAATTAACCAGATGATTAGGGCCTAACAGGATGGTGGAGTCAGATACTTAAGTATAAACATTACAGCAAAATTCAATAAGATGCTGGTTTCTTAGAACTGAGCTTGTTCTCAGGCAAGTGGCCCGATTGGCCTGGGTTGCCAGGTCTAAAAATCTGCTGGGACAAGGCTCTTGAGAGGTGCTGACCCCACAGAGGACAACAAGGAACCTAATTTCTTCACTCTCCTCCATCACAGAGTAACCTTTCTCCTTCAGAGGTTGTCCAGTGGTCCAACCACAGGGTAATGGAGTGGCTGCGGTCTGTGGACCTGGCAGAGTATGCACCCAACCTTCGAGGGAGTGGTGTCCACGGCGGCCTCATTGTGAGTGACTCTCTGGGCTGGCCCACATGCCTTGGTGTAAACTGTCCTGGGTTGTTTCTGTTACTGTGATAAAAATGCTAATGAGAAGCAGCATAAGGGAGAAGGGGTCTATTTTAGCTTGATTACAGGCTTCAGTCCATCACTCCAGGGCAGCTGAAGTAGCAGGAGCTAGAGACTGCTGGTCACATGACACCTGAAATTCAGAGGAGGGGATGAACACATGAATACTTCTGCTCGGTTCCTTTCTTAACTTACACCACCCAGAAACCAGCCCATGAAATGGAACCACCCATGTCCAGGACAGGTCTTCCCATTTCAGTTAACCCAGTTAAGAACAATCCTTCACAGTCATGCCTGCAGGCCAACTTGATCTAGGCAGCCCCTCTTTGAGACTCTTCTGTTAGGTTGATGACTGAAGCTAAGCCTCACACTTTGTAAGGGTCAAGTATGCTTGTGGAAAAACTGAGGTTCTTCATCTGGACCATGTTACAGAATTTGAGATCTCAAAGTGTTTCTGGTTGAACATTACCTTACAGAAAGAAAGGTGGCTTCTGCAGGAACTTCCTCAACTTCAGTCTAGAGGGTTCCAGTTAGTCTGGTGGTTGCGTTAGATCAATCCTGAACAAAGCAACTCCACCTGTTCCCAGAGGAACACGGGGGCTGGGGAAGTGAGGGGGTGGTCACCTTGTGCAATTTCCTGATTGCTATGATATGGTGTTTATCACTACTTAGCTCTGTCAAGTGTCAAGGCCAGAAGGGAAGTGTGGAGGTGGTAGCCTAGATGCCATCAGAGAAGACTGGAAAACAGCCTTATCTCAGAGGCCTGTTTCCTGCTAGTCTGTGAGGATGAGGTTGTCCATCAACAAGCATGCTAGTCTGGTCAAGGCCTCATGCTGGGGAGACAGAGTGGGTGGGACACAGAGCACAGCCTATGTTCCGGAGGCACCAGGGCCCAGGGAGCAAGTTTTTACTATCCCCACCTAGGGTCCTCTTCAGTAGCCACTGTCTAGATTTGTCTGTGTGTTTTTCTTAGATCCTGGAGCCACGCTTCACTGGAGACACCCTGGCTATGCTTCTTAATATCCCCCCACAGAAGACACTCCTTAGGCGCCATCTGACCACCAAGTTCAACGCCCTGATTGGTCCTGAAGCCGAACAGGAAAAGCGAGATAAAATGGCCTCACCAGCTTACACACCTCTGACCACCACAGCCAAAGTCCGGGTGAGCTGTCAGAACCATTGTGCGTTGGTCCCCATGGCCTGCCTTCTGAGCCTTATGTTTGGCATCTGTTAGTAAGTGCCTGGGCCCAAACCAAGAAGTGAAGCCCTAGATGAGGAGCATGCCTGGCTTTTGCTGTAGGAGTCTTCCTGAGGTCTGTTCATCTTTTCTAGATCCATTCCCTGCTTGGCCTAAGTCCCAGGAAAACAGCACATGTTTCTTTATACTGTACATGCACAGGAAGTAGCTCTTCTTGAGAAGCTGTTCTCTACTCCAGTTCTGCCAAGCAGATGAGAGCTGGTTCCCTTCAGACCAGCCCATCTGTGTGCCACAATGCCCCAGGGTCTTGCTGCCTTGCTAGAACTGGGTGTGCCCCCATAGCAGCTGGTCTTGCTTGTTGTATTCTGTATAGCCAGCACACAGCTGACCTAGTATTAGCCAAGCACCTGTCTCATTGTCTGATCTCTCTGAATCCTACAAAGACCAGTCTGAGTCTGAAAGCTCGGTCTGAAACTAACTGCGGGCCCACAGTAACTCCAAAGGCCAAGCCGAACTCTCCTTAAGCAATCATTGGTCCCTATGGTCTAGCAACGCCTCCTATTGACACTCCCCTCTCTAAGGATGTAGAACAGATACCATGTCTCAGGGAGTCTAGCAGAAGCAGAATGGGGTGGGTGAAACTCGGGCAAGGATGAAGGCCAACCATTCCAGAGGTTCTCATGTCTCATCTACTCTTATGCCAGCAGCTGTGGTGAGACAAGTCCCGTGTACTTGACTTCAAGTGCAGACAATAGCATTCCAGGGAACCTCAGTCCATCCTGGGAAGTAGGAAGTCATTTTGGGGGACAGCAGGCCTGAGTTAGGTTATTCATCTGTCGGCCTTGCTTCAGCATAGAACATGTCATCAAGAACCCTGCTTCCCACAAGCACTTTTATTTCTTTCCTCCTGAACTAGCTCCCAAATATATTGTCAGTCACATCTGCATGCTGACCTGGAAGCTTCTCCTTATCATCTTTCATATTTGCTGTTTCAGCCCAGGAAACTCGGGTTTTCCCATTTTGGGAACATGAGAAAAAAGAAGTTTGATGAGTCTACGGATTATATTTGCCCCATGGAGCCTGGTGATGCGGCCAATGACAGCCACAGGGTCTATGGTGTCTACGGGGGCCTTAGTCCCCTTGACAACCATGAACTAGATGGACTGGACCAGGTGGGACAGATAAGCTGATGCCCCTGTCATCTGCCTTCTTTGTGCACCAAGAGCTTGCAATAACACCGTGTGCCACCATCTAACTGCACTTCCTCCACCCTTGTGCATGACGTGCAAAAAGCAGCAATTGTGTGCCTTTGGGCTGGTCTTCCTACACACCGTAAGGATGGTCAGGATATGCAGTTACACAGCTACAACGGGGACAGACTTTGGGGGACTATAGGACTATAGCCAAATGTCGACTGAGGAGAAATCACCTGAAGATACCTGTACATGTTTAGTAATTCTTACTATCCGTATTTCAGCTGAAAACATTTGAACAGAGGCAGGCGCAGAGCTCCTGGGCAATCCCAAGAGGTCCAGCTCTCAGGCACTGTACCCTATGCTCCAGTTGAGGGAAGAATTCAAGTGCCTTAGGCCTATGGAGCACAGAGTCTTGGCTGAGATAAAGGGACAACAGAGGGTCTTGTAGGCCATGTTGATAATGTAATTGGATTGTACCTTACTATGGGTGGCCATTTCTTTCTGGTAATAAAAGCAGTATTTATGTAGAAAGTATGAAACATCTTTAATTCTGTCGGGAGAAGAAAGCCAGGAAATGCTGGAGGTAGGGTGATACCAAGTACACCACTTAAAGGCCTATAGTTTAGGATTGAACCAGGAAATGGGTCGTCTGTTAGAGAAGTCTGTGGCCATGTTGCCTTGGGCCCCATTTCCCTCTGTAAAGCATAGAAGGGTCTTGGGTGTCACACACACACTGGCTAGAGGTCACATCTGTCACACAGACCCTAGGTTGTTTTCCATTTCAGCAGTGTGAGCCTCAGAGTGAAGGGTGGGGAGATGAACAGGCAGCCTTTCTGGCAAGACTCTGCTTTTTACATCTTGCCCACTTTGTCTCCCGGAAGAGCAAAAACAGAGCTGTTCTCTTGCTTTAGACACTGCCTAGTTGGTAATGGGCCCAACAGATGGTCTGTGTCTGGCTGGAGACTGACCACGGAGAGATGTGTGCTCTGCCAGTCTGAGGCTCTGCTCAGGAAATTCCAGGTTGGGACTGGCCAGTATTTGACTCCTGGGTCCAGTTACCTTCATCTACAGAAGAATAACAGCAGTGTTGCAAACATCTGGAAGGGAAGGCAGGATCGCTGTCTTGTTACGGTCTTCTGATTCTGACCCAGATGCAGGCGATGTTAACATTTGGCTCTTCATACACATAGAAGACTCAGCCATGGTCTGATACCCAAGGCTACTACCTCCCCTAAAGTCCAGCTTGCCAGGTGGCAATACTAGTATTTGGTTCTGGTACCCTGGGCCACTGACTGGCCATTGCTATTGTAGAGCATGGCAGGCCAGGTTTTGTGCCCTGTTGGTTATGTCCCAGTGAGGACTGCATGTACCTGTTTTCAGACCTTGCATGGAATTGTATTGCTGCTGAATCTCTGTGTGGCCTCATGCAACTACCATTCCTTTAGTGGACTTGAGTTTTCCCTGCTACAAGGGTTTGCCCTTGATGCCTCCAAGTCTGCAGCATCCAGATAAGGAGGACGAAGTAGGCCAGCAGTACCCAAGGGGAGGAAGGCAAGAGAAGGAGGCGCCTATGCCATGAAGAGGCAGGCAGCAGCCTCCTGATGTTGCCCTCTTAGACCACAGCATTGATATCTGGGGTCCTATGCCTGGAAACTATCCTCTGTCCAGCAGTAATCTGGAGGCTTTCATCCCTGTGAAACAGCTGGACTAATGGACATGTGCAGAAGGCTGCTTCTGACAAGCTCTGCCTGTGCCCTGCTTCTCCACATGGAGTGCTGATGCCGGATGTGGCCTCAGCAGAGTGCATGCAGTACCGGAACTGAACCTGCATGTGTCTCAGCAGCTGTCACTCCCTGGGGCCTAGAGCACACCATGTCTACGCTCTAGGGAAGACTGTCCCAGAGAGGACAGGCCTGAGCAGAAGGAGCTTTGCATGCCACTGTCTCTGCAAAGCATAGGCCTTGTTCCTGTGTGCTGACCAGGCTGCTGCCCATTTTACAGATGGCACCTTCTGAAGTCACCGTGACACAAATAGGGCTCCTCTCCCAAGACATCCATCGCCTCACGGTACGATTCTAACCCCCACTTCCTTGCAGCATCGCTCGTGAAGCCCAATAAACTTGGTGTGGTAGTGTTCATGTCCACAGGCAGGAAAGGATGATGCTTGCTAGTGGGTCAGAGCCTTAGCCAGCCCTGTGGCACACAGCAACTGAAAGGCCTCCTCCCCTGGCCCATTGCTGGCTCTGAGCCACCACAGGGCATTGGAGACTCACAGGCCTTTCATCAGAGTCAGCCTGAACATACAAGGTGTTGGATCCTTTTCCTGGTCTCAGAATTGGTAATGATATAATGCTGTCCAAGCAGTTATGGGTCAACTGTCCAGCCAGATCAAAGCTCTGGCTCACTTCTAGCCCAGTGAATACTGTCCTGCCTTCTTGGCACAGAGAAACATGTATTCCCACCACTCCTGTGACATCATGAAATGTTCTACATGCTAGGAGAGCCTGCCATGACCAGGAATACTAATCAGTCCATGGGAAGGCAGCTTGGTCCCAAGGAAAGAAGAACAGGTTTTTTGTTGTTGGTGGTTGTTTTTTTTGGTGTGTGTGTGTGTGTGTGTGTGTGTGTGTGTGTGTGTGTAGGGTCGGGGGGGTCAGGGGTAGGAGTAGTTCAAGTCTTTTGCCTTTTACTGGCTCTAGGAGCATAGGTGTGCCACGGTCCCTCTGATACTGACTTTAGTTATCTGTAAAGCAGGGATAATGATAGCCTTTTGTAAATCACATGGGAAGACCAGAGGTAGCAAGGCATGGCTACCTACCCATCGTTAGAAAACCGTGTAAAGGCAGGATGGAGGAGTGTCTTATATCTAAGCAAGACCACGTCCGTGCAACAGGCTTTGTCTCTCGGCTCACGCAGGGACATGTCTCTGTACAATCTTGGCCTGTGATCTCTAATAAACTTTTGGTGGTCTTGAAATAGTAAGTTTACCTCTAAGACAAAAGGCTTGGTTTTATCTTGTGTGTATGTGTTTACCGATGTTGGGGATTGAACCTATGACATTGTGCAAGTGAGTACAAAGTGAGTACTTGTGTACTTGTGTACACCAAGCCTCACCCTCACCCCATTTTTATCTTGACATTACTGTCTATTCAGCACTCAATGCTCAGCTCCCTGGGACACCACACTTTGCAGGTCAGCGGGATTGGGAGTGGGCCACTTCAGTGTCCCTCTGTTTCTTAGGAAGATGCTGTAGGGTAGCCTTGGCCTATGGACTGTTAACTGCCCTTTTGGCTATGTTCTTACAGACTCTACTGAGCCAGGACCAACTACTGAATGACTCGCCTGGCTGTCCCTGATGCTGATGAGTATGGATGACATTCTTCATGGCTGAGAGCCAGAGAGGCATGCGTGGGACCTGAATGTTTGCCTCAATGGGGAGTTGGCACAGAGCCATTTACAGAACCCAGATGGGGCTCTTTGGGGTCCCTCGGAAACAGGTGTTGGCAGGAGCAAAAGCAGAGGGACGAGATGGGTGCCCAGAGGTGTCCCTGTGTCTTCCGTGATTACTGTTCGCTACAGATTTTCTACCTTTTATACTTTTATATACAAATTGCAGACATTCTTGTAGACAGGGAAGTGTTGTGTTAAATGCAGAACAAAGGCAGTGAACTCTTGGTTCATAAAAGCCTCTGCTTGGAAAAGAGTTGTGTAAACTGTTGTGATTGTCCTGCAGTGGTTGGTGAAGTTCTGGCGGGCCGGGGATCCTCTGGGGCCGCTTCATAGAAGTATGTATTTCTACTCCTGGGAGCCTGGCCCTGAGAACCAGGACTCCTCTCTCCATCTTCCAGCAACTTCATCCACCTGGGTCTGCAATGTGGTATTACTGCTCTGACCAGCAGGTGGCGGTAGCAGTTCCTGAATCGTGGGGTTTGAGGCACAGCTGCTAGAAATGGTAATTTCTAACCATTGCTTAACCATGCCTTCTGTCTAACCATGCCTCCCTTGGCCCAATGCCAAGGTGGAACCTACCACCTAGAGGTTGCTAAACTACAAATATTTTTCCATGTCTCCATCTGCTGTACAAAATACAAGACAGGGTTCCTAGAGTCCATATACTGTGATTGCCCTTCTGTACAGGTTCCTAATCCTGTTTATGTCTCAAAGTGACCCACATGGGAAGGAAGAACACACAAAGCCTTTGCCCTCTGTAAGTCTGGCCTTCAAAGCAGAGAAATGTAAAAAATGTTCATAAGTGGTTAGTGGGAGTTAGTTGATAGAACCCGTTTGGATCTTGCTGTAATTCCACCCAGGCAAGTTCTGGCTGCCCAGTGTGTTCCCTACATAACCATACATTGTGAGCTAAGTGCAGAGCAGTCCAGTTTATTACACAAAACTGGGAGAAAGAGGCGGAAGCCACCCAAAACACCCAGTCCTCTGAACTCTTCTTAGGTCCACACCCAAGAGACCAGCACCGTGCCCAAGGCTACATGGAGAGCCACTTTGCAGATACTATAGGTGAACAGTGAACAGGGTGAAGTCAAACTCACTCTGAAACAGAGGAGAGGGACCTGCCAAGGATTAGAGGAGGTGTTAATAGGTAAAAATCATGTCCTTGGTATAGCCGAGCTGTTCCAGACTAGGGTGAACTGCCTCCTGGATCATACGTGGTGGACCACACACCAGGATGAGCATTCCCTCCCCAGGGGGAGGGAGGTGCTCCTTGATCATGTCAGCAGTGACGAGTCCCGAGCTGTACTTCCAGCCTGGAATGAAACAGAGCAGGGAAGAAGGGTGATTCTGCGTTAGCCCATGATGCTGGAGACCAGGCTGCCCTACAAAAGCTGAGAAGTCTGCGTTGCTGTTTCCCACATAGACCCAAGAAACAGACATAGGGGGTTTCAGTCGTCTGCAGCATTTACTCCAATTCCAGGTTCAAATCTTGGTCTCAGACTCGGGATGATGTCTCTTTGCTCGAAGCACTGAGTAGAGTGAGGTCCTTAGGTAGGGGTGGTGGAGTGTTTGTGGAGTTGGGCAGCACCCTCTGCTGGACAGTGTGATGTATGCCAAGACAGGTGTAAATCAGGGAGACGTACAATGATGAAAGGTACATAGCTCCTAGGAGCTAGCAGGAGCTGGCTGAGGCTCAGCTTATGAACACTGCTGTCCAGAAGAGGTTGGTTGTAAGAGGTAGAGTAGCCGTGAGCAGTATGAGAGGGCAAGGGGCCAGTGCATCTTAGGTACAATGTGCTGAGTGTGGAGGGCAGGTGTGGCTCAGTCTATACTCAGTGCAATGTGGGGAGGGTAGAGGTGTGCAGCCCCTGTCCTTGACTCCCCTTTACAAACTGCTGCTCCCATCTCCTCCCATCAGTGTCTTGTGTGCCTTATACAGACCAAGAGCCCCAAGGCCTAATCTCTTGGGGTAAACCTTAAAGGCAAACCAAGCAAACAGAACCTAGAGCTAGTCCGCAGGTGTGTCAAAGGGTGGAGCTCGCTCAGAATCAGAGAGTAACATGGACCATACCATCGGGAGGCCTGTCCAGGGTATACCACAGGTTGAACTGGTCAAGGTGAGTTGTGGCGGTCTCTTCCAGCTCCTTTCTCAGCAAGATATCCTCTTCTGTCTAGAAAAGAAGCAACATTACAAAGGTCCCTTAGGAATAGCTTGTATGCCCACCTAGATTGAACATATGGGTCTGCACATTCATGCCTGAATTGCCACTGTCCTAGCTTGAGAGCTTTCCAGACTCCCTGTTCCTCCTGTACACTATACCCTCTCTATCAATATAAGGAGCTGGTGGGAATCAAGCACTCGAGAGGCAGAGGCAGGCAGATCTCTGTGAGTTAGCGGCCAGTCTGGTCTACAAGAGCTAGTTCCAGGACAGGCTTCAAAGTAAGAGTAACCCTTTCTCAAAAAAACAAACAACAACAACAAAAATAGCTGGTGGTACTGATGGGGGACCAACAATATGGCTGTCCTCTGGCTTGAAGGACTGGCTACACACACCACTCCACTGTCTGCATGCAAAAGTCCCCACTCACTTCCCTGAATCCAGGGTCAGACCTGCAGGCCCAATGACCACAAGCTTAGTGCAGATCGGCCTTCTCTAAGGAGTCAGGGGAGGGCGCTGCTGGTGGTGTCCAGAAGAGGAAGGTGGTCTACGTTTGCATCTGAGGAAAGGGGGACAAGGAGGAGGACAGGGCTCCAAGAGAATACCCAGGCCTGGGTCGTCCAACCCTCCATGGCTCTTGTCTGGCATTGTTTCAGAAAAGCAAAGTTGTCGGGTCAGGCCCAGTTGCTCATAATTATTTATTGTTTATGACAAAATCTAGAAAAACCTGAATGAGAATGTTTCTTTGATTCTGGTGTGAATATTTAAAGTCAGCGAGAGGAAGATGCCTATGTGATACTACTAAGTGAAAAAGTATATATAATATATAAAAATGGGTATAAATAAGGGTATATCATATATAAATACACAGTACATATGGGGGAAAAGACAAATATCAAAGTATTTATATTCTTCTGAATTCCTCAGATTTTCCATTAGGAACATCCATTATTTAATACTCAGAGAAACAGAACTGGAATTAAGGAGAAAGCTCACTGCATGGGGTGGCTCTGTAGGGAAAGTGAAGAGTTAAGGAGAAACAAACAGAACAGGCCTGACCTCAGCTTCTTCAGCTGCCAGCAAACTTGCCGAGCCCACTAAGCCTCCCACAACCCAGCAGCATCTTCTCAGACAGTTGGAGGGGGACATTCCATGCTGCTGTGGCAAGCTCAGGGCTGGCTGCAGACTGACCTGGTTGGCAAAGAGGAGGGACATCCTGGTCCCATCACTGCTGTTCTTGGTGATGTGGCGAAGGAGCTGCAGCATGGGTGTGATGCCTGGAAAACAGTGGCAGGCCAGCTTGCTCCCATCCCCAGTGCCCCAGTTCCTAGCCTTTGGTGGATTAACAATCTCATTTGACCCTGATTCTACCCCTTCCCTTCTGTTCCCCAACAGCTAAAGTGGGGAAGAACCTTCATTTTGGTGTTTCTCTCTAATGCAGCAGCAGATCAGAGAACTGCTTTCCTTTTTGAGACAGGATTTCACATATCTCAGATTGGCCTTACTCCCTATGTAGCCAAGTCTGCCCTTGAACTTCTGATCATCTCAAGCACTGGGATTACAGGCATGTACTACTCTGCCTGTTATTATGTTGCTGGGGAGCCCAAGGTCTCATGTGTGCTGGGCAAATAGTCTACCAACCAAGCCATATCCTCAGCCCTTCTTTTCTATGGCAAGAGGGTATGAACTTTCTGTGAGCTAGTTCATGTCTTCACTTGCATAATAAAACTAACTGCCAGTAAATTTGATAGTATTAAAACTGCCAGCGGCGGTGCCTATATGTCTCCCTGAGGGTTCATTCTCAAGGAATTTTGAGAGTCAGGCTGGAACTGAATATTCCACTATTTAGGAACCATTGAGCAAAGCCAGCCCAGCCTCATAAGAGAGGCTCCTATGGCTTCCAGGGAGCCACTATGCTGGTTGTAGAGGAACAGGGTCAGATTCAGTATCAGACACCACAGTCCCATTACCACAGCCAGGGGAGAATTGCTTGTACTGGCTCTCATAGGGTCAAATGATTCACAAGTTAGAATGGTCTTAGAGTAGTCCAGAAACTTCTTACCTGTGCCCCCAGCAATCATCCCCAGGTGATGAACCTGTTTTCTTTCAGGCTCACTCGTTTTGTCTGTTTTGACTGTAAGGTAACCTAGAAACATAGAGAATGTTTCTGACTTCTGCAGGCCTTGGCTGGTGGCCTACAAAAGATTTCTGACTCTTGGGAGGCAAGGTTATATAGCATTCCAAGTTTGAATCAGACACGGTAGCTTCACTGGCCACCAGTGTATAGAGTGGGAACCGAGGCTAGGCATCCCATGGGATAGCTGGGCCTTTTCTTGGGCAAGCTGAAATTAATCTGGAGCCTTGAAGAGCGAGTGAGTGGAGAATCAATGTGAGCCCTCTACCCTCAGCAGGCACCTTTCATGTATCTGTGCCAGAGACAGTAATGAGGACATTATAGATGAAGCGTACAAGTCTGTGCAGCAAATATGAGCAGTGACAGAAGTCATTATAAATGCATTCATGTGAATGAATGTGTGAAGACTTGAAGTATGCGCCCATGTGCCCCAGACCTGAGGAAGACCACAGCAAGGCCACTGCAGGAATCTCCCAGCTATGAGAAGAATTGCAGCACCTGTACCTGGCTTGTGGTAGAACAGGCGCCCTGTTGGCCCTCGAATAAGGATGGTGTCCCCAATTTTCATGTTCTCTAAGTACTGAGTCATCTTTCCCCCTTCAGGATGCTTGGGGTGTACATTTCTGAAGTATATCTGAAAAGCAAGCACAGATCTTTACACTTCCAAGGCTTTGGCTGTAGTTGCACACAGCTGGAAGTCATTCGAGTAAACACTGCCACACTCACTGTGCACAATCGTTTTGATTTCATGTCTGTTTCCACAATAAAATGCCCCAACAAGACAACTCGGGGGCAGAGGGGTTTAGTCTAGCTTCCAATTCCAGGTTAAAGTCCATTATTGTCTCTGCAAGAACTTGAAGCGGCTCACCACATCACATCCAGTAGAGTGACATGAATGTATGTATACCTAGTTGTGCTCAGCTCATTCTCTATATTTGCACAGTTCAGGGTTCTCTGCCTAGGGAATGATGTCACCCACGATGGGCTGGGTCTGTCTACGTCAATTAATAGAATGAAGACAGTCCACCACAGACCAGCCTGATATAGACAGGCCCTCACTGAGGCTCTCTTCGGGTGGTTTCTAGATTGTGTCGAGTTGTTAACTAAACAGTCCTTTGAGACCCCACAGGGTTAAGTGTAGCATTGCTGGTAAATGAGACTATTGGAAAGCATTGTCCAGGCCACAACTCCCCTCTCTACTCTACCACACTAAGGATACCTGGGGGCTCCAGATAGCTTAGTAAGGTGGGCATTATTTACCTTTATAATGAAGTCCACAAAGCCTTGATCATCGTCACTAGAGACAGGAGTGTAAGCCCTAATTACCAATTCATTGTTAATTTGGGCCAAGAGATGGACATAGTTACCTACAAAAAAATGTTAATCAAATGTTAATAGTCAAATAGGACTCTGAAATGGCCCAAAGATTCCCTTTGATAACATCTGCCCAGCTATGCTCACACTGTAACCTTTGGAGTAAGAATTAAAGGTGGGAATGGATACTAAAAATACCAGAAAGGAGCCAGCGGTGGCAACTCATACCTGTAATCCTAGCACTTGGGCATCAGAGACAAAGTTGTCTTGAGTTCAAAAATAATCTGGGCTGTTAGTAGCAATCCAGGCTATATAAATGCAAGAGCTTATCTCACGAACGATATCAGAAAAAAAATAATTTTTTTTTCCATTTAAAGAAAACGATAGTCTTCATGAAATTCTTTCTTCCTAACCTGTCTGTGTCTCAGCAGAGAACAGGGCTTAGCCTCATGGGTACGGCACGGTTCCAAGACCTCCACAGTTCTGTTTCAAATAAAGCAACAGTGCGTGCCATCCTGGCCACTAGTTCTGCTGAGAAGCAACAGGGACATTTACACTGTGTCTCTGCCTGTCCAGAGTAGAATTCGATAGGCCTGGAGGGCCAGAGACCCATGAGTTGAGATTGTAGCCCAATAGCAGATAGTGAGCCAGACTGAAGTCCAGACTTGAGAGACCAAGGCTATTAGTACTGAGAGGAGGAGCTGCATCAAGGGATGCTAAAAGCTAGAGACAAAAGAAGGCACCAGGTCATGTTCAGGTGGGGTATAAATCAAGTATGCCTGAGAAATTAGAAATACAGATAGAAGAGCTGAGAAGCTGAGAGAGACAGATGAAGAGGAGGAAGAAGAAGAGGGAGGGAGGGAGAGTGAGATGCTAGAGTTGAGGGTAGTGCAAGATGTTAAGCAGTTTATGTCTGACTCTTGGAGGAATCCCTAGAAGCTGCGGTGCAAGCTTAATAGCCATCATCTGATTGGACACCAGGGACACCTGAAAACCAGACCTAAAGCAGCAGCTTCCACCCAAGAGCTCACCTCAAACTGAGAACTTAGGAAGCCAGTCACTGCATCCCCACACAGGATGGAGCTGTGTGCTCAGCCCAGAGCCCCACCTCCAACCATCCTCGCTTCAGCTGCACAGTGGAGCATTGGTGCTCTGCTGTTGGACTCTTAGAGGCCACTAAGCGTGTGTGTCCCACTGGCCATGCAGCTGCCACTGAGGCTGAAGGCACAGTGGGTCAGAGAAGTCTCTACCTACAAATTCTATTTCTCAGTGGCTTCTGCTTGCCTCCCAGGCAGGATGGTGACAGGCTAAAGTAAAGGAATGGAAGGACCTGAGACAGTACTCTCATGTACAGAGGGGTAAAGAGCGGCAGGCAGGCTTGGTCCTTGCAGTATAATTTCCTCACTTGCCAGAATTGAAGTTAGGACTTTCTTTGAAAGAAGGCCATCAATCAGACTTCCACTAGGAGGCAAGCAGCAAGGCTTCTCTGTCTCACACCTTTCGCTTAGGTTTTCCACCTCAGGAGAGTGGACTCGTTGTCAATATTGATGAAAATGAAATGGGGCAACTCAGAATCTGAGGAGGACAGCCAGAGGTGGTTTCTTTATGTGGGGCTCAGGCTCCCTCAGAAAATCACCCATTTAGGGCATCTGCACGCCTAGTGTCTCCCCGCACATTTTGGGCGTTGACTATAACGGAATATCTGCTCTTCTCATGCGTGTGAACTTTCACATCTACCAGCCATTTTACCCTCTACCTGAAGCAGACTGACGGGCCTGGGGAATACTATTTTACAAGATGGAACGACAGAGAGGAGGATTGAGGTACTGGCCTTAAACTGCATGGGCAGGAGCCTTTAATGACATCTTAGACTTTCTTCTAGGCTTACTTCTTTTCAGTGCTCCTCAAGATATTACTTTCCTAAGAGTCGGACTGGAACAGTGGAGATACTGTCCTCAGGTCCATCTGCCTCTCCCTCCATCCACGTGGCCCAGGATTTTATCAGTGTGCCCTCCATACCCCACGAGAATGGGAACCTATTGCTGACAGGAACGGAACATCCCAAAGACCCAGACCTGGAAATGTCACCAAGCACTGCTCACCTACAGGGAGCCCCAAGACATGGTCCGGAGAGGGCAGTCCAAAGCGGAACCTTCGGGTGTTGTGGTTGATTTGCTAGTGGAACAAAAGCATCAGGTTATGTTGGCTTCTTAGGAGTTTTGCTGTGTGTGGCCCAGATCCTGAGAAAGACACTCAATTTGGCCCTGAGGTGACTGCTCACCCCAGCTTTCCAGCTTGCATTCTCACCCCCACCCCCATCCTCCTCTTTCAGGTAACCAGGGGACGGTTTGGGTGACTCACTACCTCCTTTTCAATCAAGGACAGGGGGTACTTGGCTTCAGGGTCCTGTAAGGTGATACGATCTTTCTTCTCTAAGCTCATTTTCTCCAGGGCAATGAGAATCACAGTGGTCCTGATGACTCCAAGAACCAACAGCAAGGAAGCAGTCCTAAAAGACACAATGTGAGAACAGACCTCAGATCTCACCCATCCTGGGCTAGGCAGCACCAAGCACAGTTAATCTTATGTCTCAAAGAACTAGCACACAGGCTGCCAGTGAGGACCAGAGCGCAGAGAGGTTAGTTACAGGTTCAGCAGGCCTTCTGGACAAGACCTGACACCTGCCCCAGAGTGCTGATCTCTTCAGGCCCTTCCTGCCCACCTGCCTCCGTCCTGGCTTCAGCTAAAGATGCTGGGGAAGGGTGACAGCATTAGTTATAACAGGCTGCCCGAGAGAGAACTGTACTGGCCTTGCCAGGTGGTTGTGGGTTGTGGCTAACAGCAAGGCCAGAGACAGGACTTACCTCTCCTGGGACTTCCCACTCACTTCTGATCCGCTGATGTAGTGGAGCAGTGAGTGGATTTGAAACTCAACAGCACTTTCCAAGGCAGGCAAAGGAAGCAAATATACACTTGCCAGAGGTGTAGCCAGCCTCCCCACAACAGTCCTCAACTCCGCCCCGTTCCCTAACCAGGCCAGTTTGTTCACATCCCGACCTGTTTCAGAGGCGACCGCTGCTGCCCAGTCCTCTGGTCCAGAGACCCTACCAGCTGGTAAACGGCCGCGAGTCATGCCCAGACATGGCCTGCCCTTGTCCCCAGCCTTGGATTCCTTCCTGTCCCGCCCCTCTCTGACGGAACCCACCGGGAGCGAGAGATGCCCAACTTGTCCTCGAGCTGGGCAGTGCCTCTTGGTGGTCCGGAGGGCGAACACAGGGCAGCGGCCAGGGTCGTGCTGACTCCAGTCTGAATAGCGACACGTTCAGGCTTCTGTGTCCCATGACTCTGGCATCAGTCCAGCGCTGAGCCTCCGCAGTTGGCCCTGTGGGAATGGGGCCCATAATCTCCTCCAGAGTTCCTGTTCTCAACAGGGATCCTCTGCTTCTTAAGTCTCCTTGTGCATCCCAGTAGCCTTGGGGAAAATTCAGCCTCCCCAGCTTGTTAGCACCACGGCAGGATGGAGAGAGGCGTGGCTGTGAACTCATTTACAGTACAGACTGAGGACATGGGAATTACAGCCTAGACGAGAGCACTTGAGTGACTACATGCCTAAGTCGCCATGTCTCCCGAGCTGCTACCCTGTGTCTGCAGGGTGGGGCTGACTGCAGCGCGTGCTGGCCTCACTAGCTGCAGACGGAACAAGACTGTGTAGCAGAGAGCATGAGACGTCCAGACTATGAGGGCTCTCCGCAATGCACCTCAGAACCTTGATTTCCTTTTCCGCTCTTGCCAGTGGCAAACATAAACTCTCATTTCAGACAGAGAGGGTCAAGAAACAGATCCCTATCGGTGAGGGCCGCAATAATGGAGGACCACAGACTGTCTCGGCAAAGGGCTGAGTATTCAAAATCAAGGAATGGGCCAGGAGTGGCCTTTTGGAGGCCTGTTGGGAACAGAGAGTTCTTGCTGTTCTCCTTAGCTTTTCTCTTTAAATCATCTACCCTCTCTATGCACGGTCCTGTGTTCAAATTCCCCCCTTGTAATAAGGATCTCAGGCATACTGGATTATCTTCATCACCTCAGTTTTCTGCAGTGAGGACACATTTGTTGGTGTTGGGAGTTGGAGGATAAGGCAGGAACGTGAGAGAAATCAGCTCACATCATACCGTCCTCCACTGCAAACAACTTGCTGCAGTAGGCACACATAGCGACACCTTCCATGATACCTTCCTGGGCCCTCAGGTCATTGTCAGATAATGTGATTTTTTTTTGACAGCTTCAGCATTTAAAATATAAAGTCAGGGCTGGTGGTGCCTGCCTGAAATTCCAGCTATTTAGGAGGTTGAGGCAGAATCAAATGTTCAAATCCTGTCTGGGCTTCAGCGTTAGTTTAGGTTTAAGGTCAACCTAGGCAACTTAGTAAGACTCTACCTCAAAACTTAAAAACTAACCAAGCACCCAACTAACCAACCAAATGACAGCAAGGAAAAGAAAGGGCTGAGGTTACAGGATACCATTGCTTAGTGTGTGAGAGGACTTCTGTAAGAGGTTCTTTGAGAATTGTGAATGCCTACTGCAGCAAGTTGCTTGCAGTGGCAAGAGCAGAAAAGGAAATCAAGGTTCTGAGGTGCATTGCGGAGAGCCCTCATAGTCTGGACGTCTCATGCTCTCTGCTACACAGTCTTGTTCCGTCTGCAGCTAGTGAGGCCAGCACGCGCTGCAGTCAGCCCCACCCTGCAGACACAGGGTAGCAGCTCGGGAGACATGGCGACTTAGGCATGTAGTCACTCAAGTGCTCTCGTCTAGGCTGTAATTCCCATGTCCTCAGTCTGTACTGTAAATGAGTTCACAGCCACGCCTCTCTCCATCCTGCCGTGGTGCTAACAAGCTGGGGAGGCTGGATTTTCCCCAAGGCTAGATTTTCACAAGATGCAACTCTTGGCTGGATATTTGATTCCACACGAAGTAGCTGAAGCATCTTAAACATTTTTTTAGAGTTAATCAAATTTTTATAGTTCTTAATGCTGAGACTCAGTTTTTCATAAAAATAAAGGACAAAAGACAGATGTACGTTTAGGGCCTGTCAGAAATCGTTTGAAATTCTGTCCCAATCCTAAGCAGAAATTCATCTTTGTTATGAAACTCAAGTTGGTAGCTTAAACAGCAATTTTATTGATTGATGATTGGTTTTTCAAGGCTGGATTTCTCCTCACAGCCTTGGCTGCTGTGGAACTCGCCCTGCCCTGTAGACCAGGCTGGCCTTGAACTCAGAGATCCACCTACCTCTGCCTTCTGAGCACTGGGATTAAAGGTATGTGCCACCCTGCCCTCAAACAGTAATTTTAAAAAACAAATCCAGTAACACAATTCAGCCCAAAAGAGGCACTGATTTGATACTTACGTGCTAAAGAATGATGGTGGAAAAATAACAATTCTTTGGGTTTTTTATAATTAAATATTGTGTTTCTATAACAGTATGAAATGTTGCTGAGGGATATTAAAAATAATTTGACTTTCTTCCCTGTATCTCAAACTGTGATTAAGAATCCTGTGTCAGGGAGATTCGCCTAGGCTGTCTGGGGAGTCTAAGACGATGGGTCTGTGTGTGAGGTTCAGAGAAGACAGTGAAAGGCCAGGCAGTGGGAAGACAGCAGCAGTGGGGAGTGATGAACCTTGCACATGGAAGCAGGGGCCACAGACTAAGATGTCTAGCTAGTCACCAGAACCTGAAATGAAAACCTTCTCCTACAAACTTGGGTAAAAGAATGAGCCCCGTTGGCTCCTTGACTTTAGCCCGAGCTACTGTTACGTTTCTAACTTCCAGAAATGTAAGAGAATAAATTTACGTTGTTTTAAGCCATGAAGAGTATAATAATTTACTGTGACAACAATACATTAAACAAACAATTTTTAATCTCTGTGGACTTCTTTGTTTGCAATCTTTAAAATATTTAAAACGTATTTTTTTCGTGTGTCTTGGCTCAGAGGTTTCTTTCCCCCTCTCCTCAGGCCCGGATTGCTTTCATGGCCGACCTCTTTCCCAAAATCTGGCCCCCCCCCCCCCGGTCACAGCTGGAGCTCATTGTCCCTGCCCGGCCACACGAGCAGCTTTCCTGATTCCTCTGGCGTGGGCCCATCCTTTGTGTATTCTGCTAAAATGTCACTCAGGACAAAGAACCACAGCAGCCACTAATTTGACTGGGGTGAGGTTTGTGAGGCACATGGGGAGCCTAGACTGCTCTAGGCACCAACACTGACCCAAGCAGGGTTGGATTTTCCCCTTGTTTTTTCTTTAAGGGTTTGAGACTAAAGTATATTGGTGCTAGCTGGCCAGAATCCCCCACTGAGCGCTGCAGATGGGGTATAACGGTAGCTGTACGTGAGTTTTTGAAATGTCTTCAACCTAGATATTCGTAACAGAAATGTGACTATAATGATTGGGGGTGTAGCTCAGTTGGGAGCGTGATGGCCTAGTTGCATGAAGCCCTGGGTGTGATCCCCAGGATTGCATAAACCAGGTCTGGTGAAGGATAGCAGTGGTGCCAGCTAGCTCGGGCAGAAGAAGCAGAAGTTCAAAGTTACCTTAGGCTATATAACAACTTTGAGGCCAGCCTGGGCTAAGGAGACCTTGTCTCAAAACAAAAGAAGGTGGCTATTAAAAAAAAAAAAAACAAAACGTACATTTCTGTGGGATCCCAGCCATCTGCTCAGGCAAGACTGTGGAGAGGCAAAGGGGGTTGAGACTCCTGATTCATCACAGTTGGCCTGAGACTGAGACTGGGGAGAGTGAAGGGAACAGATTGCAGAATCCTGTTCCTGTTGTCCTTCCCACTCCCAGGGATCTCCTTCCTTAACAGCTCTGTCTGCTGAGCTCTGCCGATGGCGCTCCTCAAGCTCTCCACCAATATTTACAGCAGTTGCCTCACCTCTTCGCAAACAGCGTCTGTTGTGGTAGAGTCTGAGCTCCAGCCTCCAGAAGGTAGTGACTGTAAGTTCACAGCTTGGAGCATCAGGGAGTCCACGGGAAAGCGAATGCTGTTCCTAGGGGGAACCTGCCACCTGCTTAGAGTTGTGCCATCTGGGATGAGCGCTTCAGGCCTCCAGTCAGAGAAAGGGGGCGGGACTGCAGGAGGAGGGAGAGAGAAGGTGCAGGAAGAGAAATGAGGGGGCAAGTCCTCAACTTCCACTTCGATACAGCTGGGACTGGTGCAGAAAACCTTAATATTTTCCTCTTCTCCCTGTCAAAGCTGATTATTTTACTCTGTGAAATAAACAGACACACAACAGGGTAACAAAAAGTTTACAGAAACACAGAGCTATCTGAAAAGTCTGAGTCTCATGGAAAGGGCCAGACAATTGTCATGCATCTCCTTTAGATTCCCCTTCCCACTGAGGCTTCACCGAATCACCTCTCTCTGCTTTGCACTATCACATGTCCATTCATTAGCATGTTGAGGATCACAATCCACGTCTAGCCTGCTGAACTGTGAGGCCTCTATCCTAAAAACTCTAGTAACACAAGGCTCCAAAGGTTGCCTTAAAAAGTACAGTTACTCACAGAGCAACTCTCAAAGGAACCTGTGGTGATCTCTGTTGGCAGGTGTTAGGACCCTACTCCCCCATTCGTCTTCCTGTGGAAAGATCTTTCCAAGATAGACAGGCACAAGCACCTCAGAAGGCACATCGTTGCCCGAATCCTCTACTTACTTTACTAGCATAGATAGATATAAATTGCTTTCATAGAAGGACATATTTTCAGAGCTATTTCTATCCGCAGTTTATATGCTGAGGAAATACATTTAGAGCAGGATATTTTACTTCCTCGCACTTGAGATGTTCACAGCTTTAGTCCAGTGTTTATTTCATCTCTTAAAAGCACAGAAGTGGAAGATTTTCAGAAAAATGTTTTGTTGTAAGGACCATATCTGTCTCAGAAGTGAGTTTAAGAGCAAGTGAAAACACAGCAAATTGGAATACAGACAATTCTAAGAATTCTACTTCTGTAGAATTGCAGACTTCCCAGTGAAGACTCACTCAGAGACTAACGTTCCTGCTACCACTTGAGTTCAAACATGATTTTCAGAGAGATCCTATGCTTTCTCTCAGAGCAAAGAGCAAAGCTAGAATGCACGCCCAAGTGTCTGAACCAAATCTTGTATCTTCCTTTACGTCAGCATCCTATACCACAGCACCCCAGTACCATAGTATCCCTATACAACAGCATCCTGTATCTCAGCACCCTTATATCACAATATTCCCTACACCACAACATGCCTACATCACAGTATCATTACATCACAGTATCCCTCTACCAAAGCATCCTTATGCCATAGCACCCCTATAGCATAGCATCTCTTATCATACCACCTCAACATCATAGCGTCTCTAAATAATAAGATCCTTCTATCATAA